ATGGGGAATGTGGTAAAGAAGTGAAAACGAGTGTCCAGACAGGATGGAGTGGATGGAGAACAATTTCAGGAGTGATTTGTGACAAAAAGATGTCTGCAAACGTCAAAGGAAAAGTTTACAAGACAGTGGTGTGACCAGCTATATTGTATGGTCTGGAGACAGTGGCATTGACAAAAAGACAGGAGAAAGAACTGGAAGTGGCAGAACTGAAGATGCTACGGTTCTCCTTAGGAGTGACAAGGCTGGATAAGATTAGGAATGAGATCATCAGAGGTACAGCCCAGGTTGAACAACTGGGAAATAAAGTTAGGGAGGCCAGACTGAGATGGTTTGGACATGTCAAGAGGAGGGACCGTGGGCATACTTGTAGAAGGAGGTTAGAAATGCAGCTGCCAGGAAAAAGACAAAGAGGAGATATATGGATGCAGTTAGAGAGGACATGAAAGTAGTTGGAGTGAGGACAGAGGATGCAGAGGACAGAGTGAGGTGGAGGAGGATGACTCGCTGTGGCGACCCCTGAAGAGGGAAAAGCTGAAAGAAGAAGAAGAAGAAGAAGAAGAAGTATATTTTCGTTCCCAATGTGAGACACAAAACAAATGCTATGAAAGAGAACTTTATGTTAGTGTCATAACCCCAATTCATGGAGTAGCATAAGTGAGTGTCTCACTAAAAAGCCACTTTACTTGCTCTAACGTTGTAAGGAAGAGGTGAACATTTTTGGATAAATTGTCAGTGTAGCAACAGCCCTGTACATAGGGGGAGGAATCCTGTCCTCGACACCGACAGGCTTATTTTCAGCCAATCTTGGCTGGTGTAATGTACTCGGAGCTTCTGATGAGATCACACCGAAGGCATTCCCAATAGTGAGACACACTCATGCCACTCAGAGAACCGGGGCTTCAACAGTAACCTATTGTAAAGTATTGCACACACATAAGCCTAGATAAGAGTCTCATCACATAAATCCCATGAAACAACAAAAACTGTCTCTTGTAGCTTTATTTGTCAAACTGTGTAATAAAAACTGCTGGTAGAATGGCAAGCACATCATTTCAAGTTATTCTGTAATTTTAAAGAGAACAGTCCAACCAAACACAAGCAGGCTATGGCAAGATTGATTGAGTCTTTATAACTTGCTTTGCTGGCACTTTTGTGTTAGTGGGTCCTTTGTGACCAACTGGTGTTGTTGCCACTAAAACAGCACTGTCCTCTTTTTGTGTCCCAACAACCACCACATCCTCTCTGTCCCACAGGTACCTAACGCTCCTGTAATAACCTGGAGTAATGTGCTCTATTGGCCAATTATCCTGTTTTATTAGAGTGCTGCAGGAAGGCTGACAATACATCAGTTTTCTTTCTGCTACTCCTCACTTGAAGCACAATTCTCTTTTATGATTACAGAAACTTAAACTGAAAGTGATGAAGAAATATAATTTTTAAAGTCATGGTCAAGTCACAGTGGGACTCAGATAAATAACTGCTTACTTAGGCGAACAAAAATAATTTAAATAGTCTCTTATAGTAAACAAAAGTTCACCTGTCTTCTCAAATGGCATCTTGCAGAGGTTTAAGGATACTTTACTTTAGGAGGTTAAGCTGTTGCCAGTTGCTATTAAATTTTAACCTAACGACTTAGATCTAAAAAGTTAAACCTGGTCCTCTGGACATTCAAAAAACAACAAAAAATAAATAAATGTAGAAACGTTTCGTCTTCCATCCGAAAGACTTCCTCAGTCTGAGGTGCTATATTCAGCTCAGTCTTATAAATAGCACCTTCTCAGAGTGGATCAACCAGTTTTGCTGCTGACAACAAAACCAGCTGCTCACATGCTGATGGTCCTTCTTGACCATGTGATCAGCTGGTTTTGTTGTCAGCAGCAAAACTGGTTGATCCACTCTGAGAAGGTGCTATTTATAAGACTGAGCTGAATACAGCACCTCAGACTGAGGAAGTCTTTCGGATGGAAGACGAAACGTTTCTACATTTTTTTTTGTTTTGCTTTGTTTTGTTTTTTGAATGTCCAGAGGACCAGATTTAACTTTTTTAGATTTTTCTACCTGAATTATTGAGCATGCATCAGGATACTAACGACTTAGAATTTTCCAAAAAGAACATGTTCTTTTAAGTGTTTTATGCAGGCGTTATTTAGGACAAGTAGCAAAATAATTAGCTTTATTTCTAGTCAGGGTAAATCTGCATGCTTTGCATTGTAAACTGGCAGAGTTGTTATGGTAATTCCTGTAATTAGCTGACACTCTAATTAGCACTCTGCTCACAGTTGTCCACTCTCACTCTCTACTCCTTCTTTACTTGTGTTATTTCTGCTATTTTTATTTACATAAAATGTGCAATTGTGAAGATTAAGATCATAAATAAACAACTTATTTAGTTTTTAAATTCACTTTTGTTCCCTGGGAAACCAGTAGATTGATAAGTTTATAGATCAGTCATGCATACACTAACATACATAACATTATTAGATTTGGATGAATATTATAAACACTTTACTAGTACAGTAGTCTCTCGCTACTTCGCGGTTCGACTTTCGCGGACTCGCTCTTTCAGTTTTTCAAAGTAAGATTGGACATGACACAAAATTGGCTGATTGATGGATGAGCTACACAATAGACATGGAATTTTTATTTAAAATAAATTATTTAAATTTATTTAGCACCTCCTGCACATGTGTGCAGCCCACACTGCAGGATAAGCTTCCTGCTGCAGCTGATCAGCTGTTCTCCGTGCAGAGTGGAGAAGTGGGCATGGCCAAGAACACTTGCAGGTGGCTGAGAGCAGCGGAGCCAGAGAGAGGGAAATCATGACATTCTGTACTCTTTTAGAGCGTTTAGAGTTTAGAAACAATGTTTAGAATATTGCAAGAGTGTGAGAAGGGTTTAAAACAGCTACTTACTACTTGTACTACTATCCCTACGTTGCGGTTTTTCACTTATCGTGGGGCTTCAGGGTACGGATACCCCGCGATAAACGAGGGACTACTGTATTCCATCACATTGCCAGTTTTGATCTCTGTTTTTTTTATGCATTTGTAGGTGTTTGGTGTGCAGGAGAGTACGAGTGCCTCAATTTTGTCAGACGTGAAAGGTGAAGGAAAAGGAAAAGACACAGGAGAGGTTGTGAAAGAGGTAATGTCTAGGAGATTGTATTTATTGATTGTTTATGCAATGCAAATGCAATGTTCACTTCTAAAAAAGTGTTTCTTTTTGTGAGGGTGGGTGGAGGACCACGTTGTCCAGTTCTGTGAAACAGAAGTAGATTTAAGATTCTTGGTTGAGTCACAGTCACTCCTGTGACATGACGCTTTACTTCACTCGACTGTTTGTGAGAGGAGGCCAGTCCTCAGAGTGACCTAGATCAGGCTGGGATGAGGAAAGACGTTCAGGCCTCCAGGCACTTTCACAACAGGGAGGAGACGATGCATATCTGCACAGACAGACCAATTCCCACTTTGATCTGCCTTTTATTTTTGTGTATATTCATTTTTCAAGTGTAAAATGGCTTGTCTGTTCAGCCTTTATAAAACATTTGATAACAGTTAAAAATTGTTTTATATGGATTATTTATTGATATTATGACATAAGTGTAATACACAGAGACAAAAATATAAATGTTCACTTAATAGTCAAATACAAAAGCACTATTTTTAAAACTCATTTCCATTATAAGTAATTCTTTGTATTTCCACAGGCCCTTCCTGGTGACTCGAGCTGGGTTTCTCAATGGGCCAGTTTGGCTGCCAATAACACCAGGACAGACCCAGAAGGTTCTGGAGCAGAAGCAGCCACATTCCTGCACAAAGAGAGAAGTATGCTATCATTTACATTTAGGATTAAATTTTAAAATGGAACAAATTCTGAGATTTTGAATATGACACAACTACAGTGTTCAACAGCTCTTTAAAAAAATTGTGTTTTAATTCAGACAAAAGGTGCTGAATCTTATATTAAATGTGGTTTTATTTGTGTCTAGGAACTGATGCCTTTAATCCTGGTGCATCCCTCACCAAAGGTGAATCCTCTTCCAGCCTGACCGACCATAAGCGCAGAACCCTCCCCCAACTCCCCCTGGATGACCCCCGAGCTAAATCCACTTCCAAAGCACTGAGGTCTGAGATAGGAGAGAAGCAGGACACTGAGCCCCAGGAGAAAGAGAACAAGGGAGACGGGGAGTCCCCAACCCCCAACGAGAAAGCAGAGATGACCACTAAACGAAAGCAAAGCTCCACCTCCTCCCCATCTAAGGGTTCTCTTCGGCCCTCTGGTGGCACTGACCGGACAAAAAGGTCAGAAGAGAGGAAAGGAGGAGGAGCAGAAGAAACTGGAGACAAATCTGGGAAGCCTCTTGTCCGTCAGGGCAGCTTTACCATTGAGAAGCCCAGTTCAAACGTCCCTTCAGAGCTCATCCCTCGCATCAACAGAGGCAACGGTGGGCGTGAACGCAGCGACTCTGTGGGCAGCATGGATACAGCTACACTGCTGAAGGACACTGAAGCCGTCATGGCATTCCTTGAAGCTAAACTCCGAGATGAAAACAAGCTAGATCAGAAAAAAAGTAAAACTGCTCAGAGTTCAAGCCTCCGGACTCAGACCGGCTCCATCTCTCCTGAATCAGATGTGGACACAGCCAGCACAGCAAGTCATGTGACTGGAGAGACAGAGAGGAAGGCAGCAGCTGGCAGCATGCAGAAGAGGAAGTCTTTCAGCAGTATGCACCGAGAAAAAAGCAACATGAGCACAACTTCCAAAACCAGCACTACAAACGCCAGTGCTCGTGACCGCTTGGAGAGAAAGTCTAAAAGTAGACCAGGCGAAGCAGCGACCCGGACTGAGACTCGTCGCTCTACTCAGCCATCCTCTTCCTCCTCCAAAGTACGACAGCCTTCTCTGGATCTCACAGATGATGACCAAACCTCTTCCTTCCCCATTTCTGATGTCCTTTCTTCTGATCAGGAGACATATTCTGCACCTTTGGGAAACTCAACACATAGACACGGCTCAGAAGATGTCCTCTATTCCAAACTTGATAGCAGGTCTACTAAAACATCCATCAGCGGTGCCTCCAAAACCAGCAGAACTCTCCAGGCAGCTACAGCTTCCTCTCTTAGCAAACAGGCTTCCCTGCCACAGCCACGACCCACGAGAGCTTCCCTTCTTCGCCGTGCCCGACTGGGGGACACATCTGATACAGATCTAGCTGATGCAGACCGGGTATCAGTGGCTTCTGAGGTCTCCACCACAAGTTCCACCTCCAAGCCTCCATCTGGTCGGAAAGGACTGTCACGGCTGGATATGCTGGCTCAGCCAAGGAGGAACCGCTTGGGCTCCATCTCAGCCCGCAGTGACTCAGAGTGCATGATGACCCGGAGCTCCGCCTCTTCACCCCGTTTATCAGCAGAGACGGCTCTGCGTCTCGGCCTGCGCTCATCAACGCCCACAGAGAATAAGCTAACGTCAAGGATGAGAGCCAACAGCGTGTCCAAACTGAATGAAGCCAAGACTAAGACCACTACATCTGGATATTGCTCACCCACAGGTAGGAAAAGAATAAAACCTGAGATCATTTAATAAACAGGAAGAGAAAAACAAAATCTCTCTTAAGAATTATTTTATACGTGATGTGATGATTTAGTCAAAAAGTCGAGACATTCCATGGTATTTTTAGTTTTGGTGTGTTTTGTTCGACTGTGTTGTGGTAAACTGTGCATTGGTTTTCATCATCCAGATAGCCCTCAGCCTCAACCTACAGCTGGTGATGCAGAGGAAGAGCTGATGGGTACTGTACCAGAACCATAAAGTCCAGTAATTAGACTGTTTGTGTGCAGTGTATGTGCATGATCATGTCAGACCTGGGTCACAGCTAAAAGAGCTGCAACGAAGCTCTTGGCACCAAAAGCAAGTTGATAAAATGAAGTGTTTAGTAACGATGCATAAATCTGAACTTTCTCTTAATTTTGTCTTAAAACTCTGAATTATTTGATACACTAACACATACATTTTAAACATATTTAAGAGTTTAAAAAAATCTAAAAAAGTTAAGTCTGGTCCTCTGGACATTCAAAAAAACAAAACAAAACAAACAAAAAAAAAATGTAGAAACGTTTCGTCTTTCGTCTTTCTTTCTACGTTTTTAAATTATTTTGCTTTGTTTTGTTTTTTTGAATGTCCAGAGGACCAGACTTAACTTTTTTAGATTTTTCTACCTGGATTATTGAGCATGCATCAGGATAGTTAATTTTTTTTTTCTAAGTATCATTAAATGTATAAAAAACATAAAGCAACATTTTGATGACCCAGCTCTACAAAATATGTGTCTCACCCTTAAAACCATTGAGTAATGCTGTGTTGCTCACATTTTAACACTTTGTCCCATTTTACCCTGAGCAGACTGATTGAGCAATGCATCATCTCAGCTACACTAACAAAGCTGGTGTTTGACCTGCTGAAGAAGCTTAAAATGCAGCATACTTGCTTCTTTTAGAAAAATAAATGTAAAAAAATGCTGTTTTTGTTGTGCTTAATGTGGTGTTAGCATTGTTAAATATGCAATTACATACAACCACTTAATATAATTTTTTATCAAGAGAAGAGAGTCTAACAGTCTTCTGGATGGATTCTTCTTTAATGAAGCATTTTGTCTTTTATCCAAGACCTTCAGTCTGAGGGGCTACAACAAACAGTCTTATAAGCAGCACCTTCTCATAGCAGCAGTTTGCTGGTGACATCCAGAACTAGTTGTTCACAAGTGAAGGAGGAGCATCAGTCTAACAACTGATTGTGATGGCCGCTTGCTATTCACAGAGGGCTGAGTGATATTAGCAATAACAGCATTGTAATGAGGGGACAGTTGAACACGGAGGCCTCCCACCCCTGTTTAATGATGGACGGGTTCTCTTCAAAAATATGGCTTCCTTTACTCCTCTCTCAAACCAACCAAGAGAAATTCTTACAACTTTTTGATTTTGTTGGCTCAAAGCAGGATTAGCTGAAGACTGCCTCAAAAAAGCCTCTCATACGCACAAGCTTTTATATTTGTTTTACAAATAACTGCTGTTTTAATAGAATATTGCAGTAATTAGTAAAAATATTATTTTTAATTACCCTCGCAGTGTCCAGTAGTAACAGGTGGAGGCGTCTGCCACCGGAGTACGGCTCCACTTCCGAGGAAGAGTTTGGTTCCATGAGGAATTCTCCAAAACATGGAGCTCGCTCTCACGTGCGTCCTCATCACCTCGTCCCATCCCGTGGCTCAAGACTTGGCACCACCGCAAATTCAGGTCTGGGCGTGGTGTCAGGTCCAGGTGGAGCAGGGATCAAACACCGCATGAAAGAGCAAGAGGAGTACATCAGGGACTGGACAGCACACAGCGAAGAGATAGCCAGGTATTAACTGTAGCCTAAATGTATGTTTTTATATTAAGTTGCTCTAAAATATTGACGTTTTAATGCATGTTATCATGAATCCGAGTCTCAAAGAGCCCTGTCTGATTAACAGGTTATTCCCCTGTGTGCGCAGGATCAGCCAGGACCTGGCTAAGGACTTGGCCGTCTTGGCTCGTGAGATCCACGATGTGGCTGGTGAGATTGACTCGGTCAGCTCCTCCGGCACAGCCCCCAGCACCACCGTCAGCACAGCCGCCACCACCCCGGGATCTGCCATCGACACCCGGGAAGAGGTAGGCCCTGCACGCCCTACGCAGCCGTAAATACAGGAGAGCATGAAAAAGGTGCCTGATTTTCTTCTTCTAATAAGATCTTACCGCATGCACTTTTATTTTAGCTTAACCATTTCCCTCCGTTTTTTTTATTTTTATAAAACTTTCTGCTGCTTCATAGCTTTCATCTGCTGGGAGAGGTTAGACTCCCATCTGCTCCACCTTTACTCCTTTCATTTGATCTGATGTTCAACGTATTTTACATATTTTAACGCCATCAAATTATTATAACTCTAACAAAGTAAAGTCCATATTTCACAAATTCTCACATCTTCAATAAACTTTTAAACGAAACAAGTGCATTACGAGTAAAAGCATTTAGAGTTTATCTTTCTGTTTCTCTTCATCTCTGCCCAGTTGGTGGATCGGGTGTTTGACGAGAGCCTCAAATTCAGAAAAATCCCACCAGTTATCTTGACCAATAAGGTGCCTGAAATAAACGGAAAGCCAGTGGAGCTTCAGCCTCGAGCTCCTGACAGCCGGGAGCCTCGAGCTTTGAGGAGACGCACCTGGAACAGAGAGGAGGTGCAGGACAAACCAGAACACATGACACCGAACATTTGAACTTCAGGATGCCTTTTGACACAGTTCCATTCTTACGCTGTTTGTTTTCAGGCGGTGTTGGACAGCCTGCTCATCCACTCAGTGTCTCAGCTGTCAACCAAGATCAGACACTCTGTGGACAAAACAGCAGGAAAGATCCGGTGATTATACCCCTAATTTTACATTAATACACATGTACTTTATTTTCTGCCATACATGTCCCACCGCCATATAAGTCGCATCAGTCCACATATGTCTAATAAAGTGGAAAAAACATAAATATGTCGCTTCGCTTAGCTTGCATTATAGCTCGACATAACAAAGGTGTGTCTCAGTTGAACTTTTACTTTAAAAAATGCACTTTAATGGTCAAATCAGCTTCATTTCGCCAGGGCGGCACAGCAAAATGAAGCTGATTTGATGGTTTCTCCAGGTGAACTGGACAAAGATGGCATGATATGGCAAGCCGATTGGGTCATTAATAGCTGGTGAAGATTCTCAGTCATCCAGGACATGGTAAATGCAAAAATGTTCAAGACAAACATAAAGTATAATAAATAAAGTTCAATTGTTTTTAGTCTTGAACTTTTTTGAATTTGTCATTATAGCCACTTTTCCCTATTACATGATACAGCACACCCTACTATTCTGCTACCGTCCAGTGGTGGAAAAATGGTAGTGTTCAAAATTTTCAGTCAGAATGAATGAAAACGGTCATATCTGAGCCAAAAGTTGGTTTATAAATATAGGTAAAAATCCATAAATGTATCGCTTCGGGGTATAAGTCACAGGGCATGCAAATTGAAAATAAACTGCGACTTATACAGTGAAAAATACGGTAGGAATGTTTTTACAATATATCAACTCTACATTGTGCCATTTTGTTTCTTCACGTAGAGAAGAAAATGCCCTCAAAATGTTGTTCTCTGTTTTTTTCCTCAGGATCTTGTTCAAGGATAAGGACAGGAACTGGGATGAAATTGAGAGTAAATTGAAATCGGAGAGTGACTTACCTCTCCTTAAAACCTCCAACAAGGTACAGAAACCAATCTGTCAAACTAAAATTAAATAGCAAGAAAATCCCAGTGTTACTTAAGTGAATAGTTTTGTCATTTTTCTCTCTTGTTTACAGGAAATCTCTTCAATTCTGCTCGAATTGAAGAAAGTTGAGAAGCAGCTTCAAGGTAAAGTACAGGGCACACTTTTAACTTAGTTATTGATACTTTAGGCATTTTGGATTTATAAATGGTTGAGAAGTCAAAGTAAATACAAAGAGAAATGCAGAAAAATCTAAACTTCACAGGACTGATTAATTTCTGTATGGCTGACAGAAATACGAGTAAATAGATGGAAGGATGGCTTTTACACAGACTGACGGTAATGTCTTTCCATGTTTGTTTCAGTGATTAATGTAATGGTAGACCCAGATGGGACTTTAGATGCCTTGACCAGCCTCTGCCTGACCAGCCCCACCACCTCGACCAAGCCCCAAACCGCCAAAATATTGGCCCACTCTGCCACTAACCCAGCCAAAGAGTCACTGCCTGAGATCCTTCCCGGGCCTGGAGGGTCGGCTTCCTCCTCCAGGGTTCAGTCTTCCTCTGCCGGCACAGAGGAGTGCGCACGAGAAACCATCCTAGGTTTGGGATTGACAGGAGTCGGAGGGCTGCCCTACAACCGCATGCGGCCGAGCGGAGAAGAGGCCATCGCACAGAAGTGAACAGGAAGTTTCCTTCAGATGAATAAATAAAAGCGTGGATTGAAGGTGGCTGGTGATCAGTGCTCCCAACGATGAGGCACGTTTACAAAAAACAATGGCCGTTCTACAGATTGTACAATTCTAGGATGATAAAGTAAGAAATTAGATCCTAATTTCTAATTCCTGGCTGATGCATCAATAAATAACTCATTTATCACTTGAACGGACTAAAAGAAACGTCCAACTTTCCATCTGCTCACGCTCACTGATAGACTAAAGGTGGACAGATGTCTGTGGTTGTACAGCCTCCTTCCTGCTTCTTGCCTTCTTTATGTGTCTGGACCCTTTTCACACTAAGGTCATGCCTTAAAACACCTCTTTAGTAGTAGCAGTGTTACCCCCTCAAATACTATTCAAGACCATTTTTACGAGTTTCGTACCGTAAAAACAAGATGAATGCATTGTAGGTTCTGACTTCTCTAAAGGAAAATACATTAAACCATTGAGATACATTGACATCTGGAATATTTGAGATTACTTTGGAAAGTAAGCAAAAAAAATAATAGTTCTTTTCTTTATATGAATATGTTTTTAATTGCAACTGTTCAATGAGTCATCTCGAACTTTTAATGCCTCCCCTCACATTTCCTTCTTCACTTGTTTTATGTCATGTGTGACTCTTTTCTGCCTTTTTTCTCCCAGTAGCTGGTTTAACAGTCACTGCAGTAGCAAGTTTGAGACACAACTACATAGTAGTTTATGTTGTTTACTCATAATTAATGGGGTTTTATACAATAGTAGCAATGCAATTTTTAAACAATAGACATTTACAAAAACATAAACGATTTGCCTAAATCTGAATGTCGAGTTATTTTCCATCATCAAATCAAGGATTCAAGAGGTTTATTCAGAACAGTTCAACAATTTGACACAAAACTGCTGGAACTGGTTTAAAACAAGGTGCTATTGAAATGAGTGCAACGCTTATAAAAGCCTTTTGGTGGTTTTAAATGAGGGTCTGGGATTTTTTTTTTTAGTAAAGTGATTGAATTTTGCTGGGAATGTGGCTCCAGATGAAAGTACTGAAGACCAGTTGTTCTGTTTCTACCATGAGGGGAAGCTCCAGATGTACTGTGGGATTACAAACTGTTGAATTAACCTTTTTCTAAATGCTGCTTTTGCAGTTACTTTAAAGGAAACATTGTTTTCTGAACCTCTCTCAGTCTATAGTTTCTGTCTGGAGTATACGACTTAAAAGCGGTGTAGTAGAAGTTCGAGAACTAATAGTGATTTAGGTACCAGTACGTGTTCATTTCCCTTCTCTTTACTGTACTGTACACAGATTTTAAATGCCTCAAAGTGCCCATTTTGATGACAGAAGGGCATTGATTCAAAGAAAAAGGTGTAGCTGCCTAAAGAATTTTTATTTTGCACATCAGATTGTTTTTTCAAGTAACGAGTGGCCGATGGCAACAAATTAGCGATATCGCATTTTGATATCAGAAGTGACTGTTTAAATAAACCTCTAAATGTCTCTCCCCCCCCCCCCCAACTTAACTTTGGGGACTGTGAATGTTAGGTACATTTAGGATTACTTGTCAACGTGTCATCAGATCAGTGTTCTTTGTATTTTTTTTCCAAGTTTTGTAAAAAAAAAAGAAACAGCCAATTTTATTTATTTTCTTTTAATATTATGTGAACGTTTCAAGCATTTTTATATTTGTTAAGCTATCAGCAATAGTTCTGTTAATAAAAGCAAGAGCTATTCACTTGTCTGTGTTCATTTTATTGTCACTGTGCAAAGATACAAGTTGCCGTTTGTGTTCAGCACAGAAAATTCTTCCTCCCTTTAACATCGTTAGAACTAGATGGTTTTGAAAATAAGGTTCACACTATTTCAGCTGTTATGATTAGCTAAACAAAAATGTTTTATTGTGCATTCAGTTTTGCTCGTTCTTGCTGAATAGAAATACTTTTTCTATGTTTTATGTAAATCTTGTCAAATGCAAATCATGTCCGAACTTCTCAGCTGTTTGAATTTTTCACAAAAGCTGACAACAGTAATGTCCCTATATTTTATGAGCGCAAACTACTTAATCATCCAAAATCTATGCTCAGTGGCAAGAATATTACTGAATTTTTGTTCATTCTTAACTCCAGCAAGCACATCTTTGAAGTAAAAACATCTGCAGCATTAACTTTGACACGGCCCCTACTGCAGACGAGCTGTTTAAAAACCCACACGTAGCAAATCTTAGCAACTAGAGGAGCAGGGCAGTCTTTTTGTTATATTTCAAAATCAAAACGGTATGTCTGGTGAAAGAAAGAATAGACTCAAATGTTAAGATGTCAATTTTATTACGATCACTTTAGAGCTAAAATCGCTCTCTGAATTAAACAGTACTGGATGTCAAACTACAAACATCAACATGGCAAAGTGATTCAAGCAAAAGAAAGTGAAGGTTAGCCGGGGGGCCATCCCATAATGCGTCCACCCAGGATGTGGATGTGGACGTGGTAGACGGATTGTCCGCCATCAGGCCCATCGTTGATGACAATCCTGTAGCCTTTAGACAGGCCTGCATCTTGAGCACACTTCTTTGCAACTATCAGCATGTGGCCCAACAGCTGAAAGGTAAAAAAAGAGGATTTCTTGAAGCTACTAAAGAAAAATACAAAGAGCGTAAGGGTCCAGCTGTTGGTTGATGTACAAGTAATGTCTCCCTCTAAAGGTTGAAACGTGAAAACTATTAAAGCTGTGCAGCTTCTGTCAAACTTACTGCAGCATCATCGTCTTCGGCTTGTGACAGCTGGACAATTGTTTTTTTGGGGACGACCAGGATGTGAGTGGGAGCTTGAGGAGCAACATCATGGAAGGCAACACACTGAAACACAATAAATGAAGCAAATCACGGATGTGCACCAAGTTGTACAGATGCATCACTGAAACAATACATCAAATGTGTGATTACTTGCTTTTTGGTCGTTTATTTAGTATTTCAAGCACAAAATAGGAAGTTTCTGCAACATCATGACTGACTTTAGGACAAAAGCTGCAAAGCCGTTCACCTGAGATGACCCTACACGTCTGCTGCTAACTTGTCCAACTTGGATTTTTGTGTCGTGTCTTAAGAGTTTTGCTGAATCATAAGATGCATATTTACTAACTGTTGTTGGCACACCTCACTCAGAGAAAGGCAGCTGCAGAAGTAGTGACAAATGTCCACAAAGTCCTGTTTTCAAACTAATGTACTTGCTTGCAGGGTCATTCCTGTAGAAGCTGCATGCTCAGTTGCTTTTTAGACTAATTACTGGTATTTTAGCTTTAAACAACTTCCACATGGCATAACACACGATGCATAACACACGTCTAACTAAGCCTCTGCAGGGCTAGCACAAAGCTAACCAACGTCTCCTTTGAGGTACAAGCTGCTAGCTAAGGCTGTGTTACTAAACGAACGTTTCAACCACATACCAAATCATCCTCATAAACTAGGTTGGCCGGAATCTCTTTGCGCACAATTTTGCCAAATATTGTGTCACCGCCCGGTCGGGCAGTCTGCGCCTTCGCCGTTTCATCAGCCATGTTGGCGCAGATGACTGCGAGTGACGCGCAGGCACAGCCACTTTTGGGTAGGAGGATCCACGCTGAACGCTGATTTGTTACAACAAAGCACGTGGTTTGAACTTATTAACTGATTGGTCAACGAAGAACCTACCCCGGAAGTAAGCACAAAAACTCGCTATGGGGACTCGTTTGAAGGTGAGGATATAATTATTTTGTTTTATAACATTCATTTTAATAAAACAACGTTTCTTTTTCGCTCCATAAGCTGCTTTTAAATAGTTTAGCTTTTTGCATGCCTTCTAAGTTACTGAAAGCGTTGAATATTGCCGACTAGAACCAATTATTATTACATGATTATCTGCAGTCACGTCTGAAGTAACTGTTTATAAATGCAGGTTTTAAACGTGTTTAAAAGGCTGCACAGAACAAGGATTGATGTATTCAGGGATGATGAAAGAGCACTAACGGGTGAGTTAAAATAAATATGATTATCCGAATTTCTGTGGAGGGTAATGTGCATTTAATATTGTATATTGACAATATTACAAGCACTAGAAATTGAAAGCGTGCTTTGACATTTAAACGCCTATGTTTTTCCCTTAAAGCTGCAAGGTTAAAGATCAATGGGGAATTCAAGAAAAATAAAAATGAAACATCAGAGGAAAATATTCAGCAGGTATGAGGACTTTTTCTATCAGCAACACTACATTCCAATTATAGTAGTCAGAGTCAGATTAGCGTTGGATTAATCATGAATTAGTAGTCATGGATTAGATTTGAAACTATCACATATGTTGATAAATCACGCTCCATCACCAGTATTCCTGCAACTGTCGTTTTGTCCATCTTATAAAACAATAATAATAATCTCATGTCAACAGTAGCGTGGAGAGGAATGACAAGTTTGGATCTGTCTGTAGAGGTCCTTTTTGATGTGAATTTGATTGTGGCTCTGATAAAATTCAACTAACAACATTCAACGTTTACAGATAGCCTGCCTGATGCCAGGCCAATAAAACAAGTCTAAAGTTCATATTTACTTGCACTGTGCTTTGCTTTTATCTAAAATAAACGCAGATTTTAAGCAAAGTAAATCTAAGGTGTAAAACAGTTGATAGATTTGAATACAGGCTCCTGGTGTTTTTGTGTAAAGCTCAATGGTCTTTTTAAATTTTCTTGTACTTGTAAAAAATAAAAACTTTAGACTTCTTTGTTTTTATATATATATATGTATTTATTTTATTTTATTTTTTTACAGATGATTAAAATGGGCTCTGATGTGGAAACTGTCCTACGTGAGACTGTGCTACAAGTTGAGCACGTTGGAGAAAACAAACTCTGTATGTCATGACTTTTTTCTTGTTTTTAAAAATGTAGTTAAACTTCAGCAACTTTTGCAATTTGTTCAATAAAAGAAGCATGTAGCAGAGATAAAATCTCTGATCTGTTGTACATATTTGCATAATAATTGTTTTCTCACTTTCTCTGTCTGACAGTGCTTCGACCTCGAGAGAGCCTTCTACTGGAAAATGTACCATATTGCGATGGACCAAGAAAAAAGTCATAACAAACCATACATTTTATGAATTTTTATTCATTAAGAAAGAGACTGTCAGTTATTTTTTCATTTGCTATTTACAAATATAATTTACAGTGTTTCAGAACCTCCTGAGCAAAAACATTTGGAGGATCATCACTATGTCACGTTTTTTTTTTTAAATAAATAACATTTTTCTGCCTGAAGAAACCAATGCCATTAATTTATCTAACAAGGTTGAGTCAGGTCTTCTGGACGGATTCTACTTTGTTGATCTTTGTTGTTCAGCTAAGAAGAATCTGTCCAGAGGACCTGACTTAACCTTAGATTTATCTACCTGGATTACTGAGCATGCATCAGGACACCAATTAATTTATATTCAATATCTTTTCAAGTGTAATTTAAATGTGTTCTGTTGAGCTTGTGATAAAATCTAAGTAAATTACAGTACTTAAAAGTTAAGGTCAGCTTGAACATTGACTTCTGGTTAACTTTGTATCAAAATAACTGCACATTAAAAAGTTATTGTTTTATTTTATTTGTTTGCTAGTAATAAAGTTATGATTTTTTATTTATATATAGATTGGGTTGTTTTTTTTAAAAAAAATAAAAGAAGACATAATAACATAGTTGTACAGCACAGCAGAGCAGTTGGTAGAGCTGCTGCCTCTCTGCGAACAAGTTACCCTGGTTCAATTCCCGGTCCAGGGGCCTTTCTGGGTGGAGTTTGCATGTGCTCTCCGTGCATTCGTGGGTTTTCTCCGGGTACTCCGGTTTCCTCCCACAGACCAAAAACATGCATGCTAGGCTGATAGGTAACTCTAAATTGTCCCTAGGCGTGAGTGAGAGTGAATGGTTGTTTGTCTCTATGTGTTCCTGTGATGGACTTGCGACCTGTCCAGGGTGTCCCCCGCCTCTTGCACAGTGATGGCTGGACATGGGCACCAGTGACCCCCGCAACCCGAAAAGGAAGAAACGGGTAAAGATAATGGATGGATAATAAATTGGGGGAAGATGAGTATAATTCACACCAAAACTTGTTTTCCCTCTTTTACTGCAATTTGTCTTTAATATTAAAATGTATGTAGTTTTTAACCTACAGTCACAATCTGATGGAAATATTTGAATATTGTATTTATTAATCATTTAACAAACCAATAAAATGTATGGTCTCAAGCACAAACTTTTTCTGCTCCAATGTACTACATTTCCCACAATGCTTACGGGGACGGAAAGGGAAGCGCCGTTACTCTGGCAACGCTTGTAGTAGCATGCTACACTTAGCTTAGCGAGTTAGCGTACGAGCAGGTTTAATGGCAAAAATAAGGTAAGAATAGTCAAGCATGTGATGCTTATTTCAATATAACACTTTCTTTGGATTTCTCTGGAACGTTTTCACGTTTGTGCTTCATATTTTCCAGCTCAGACACTTTATGGGAGCTGGCCGCGGCGGAGGTTCAGAGTCGGGAGAGCGGAGCTGGAGAGGAGGACCGAGGAGAAACGGTCTGCGAGAGGACTGTGTTGTTGATGGGGAGCAAGGCTGGGGTTCGTTTAGTATGATCGATAAATAATTTCAATGCTTTAAAAAAAAAAAGGAGTGTATACGCACTCTAAAACCAACTGCGCTTTGCGTCTTTTGTAGGGTAAAACGTCCATCCTCCTGAGATGTCTTGACAGGTGGGTTTGTTTGTGTGGCTTGAGTTAACATTTGAAAATCTAGTCTCAGCGTTCAAATTCATAATGAAACTTACTACTAGTTATATACAAAAATAACTAGCTGGAGGGATGAAGCTAATGAGTTTTAAGAGTGGTTTGAGAAGAGCTCATCTGTTTACAAGACAGTGGTGAGACCAGCTATGGTGTATGATCTGGAGACAGTGACATTGACAAAAATACAGGAGAAAGAACTGGAAGTGGCAGAAATGAAGATGTTGAGGTTCTCCTTAGGAGTGACAAGGATGGATAAGATTAAGAATGAGTTCATCAGAGGTGCAGCACAGGTTGAACAACTGGGAGATAAAGTTAGAGACCAGACTGAGATGGTTTGGACATGTCCAGAGGAAGGACAGTGGTAGAAGGATGTTAGAAATGCAGCTGCCAGGAAAAAGACAAAGAGGAGATAAATGGATGCAGTTAGAGAAGGTAGTTGGAGTGAGGACAGAGGATGCGGAGGACAGAGTGAGGAGGAGGACTCACTGTGGCGATCCCTGAAGAGGGAAAAGCCGAAAGAAGAAGAGGTTTGTAAAGAGCTCATCTGCTTGTTGTTATTTTTGGCTTAATTTACTAAAACAAATTAGGTTTTAGACTCTCAAATATTGTAAATGTACTGTCATCTTTTAAATAAAATTGGTTGATAAATGTAAAAACTGTCTTTTTTTTTTTTTTTTCATCCTGAAGGGATGAACCACCGAAGCCAACTCTGGCACTGGAATACACTTTTGGCAGACGGGCCCGGGGACACAACACAGTAAGGCTGCTAGTCTTGGACTTTTTCAGATTACTGAACATGTTTTGTTTTTTTATCTGTTATTGTGCAGCACATAATTAACTGGCAAAAATAGTAAACTGAAATAAACTTTAAACATCAACCTCTGGTTGGAGATGAAGAGAGGGTGGTCTTCACTGCAGGTGATCATAAGCATGTGCCAAAATAACAATTGGACAAAGTTCTTCTTTAAAGGCTTAACCAGGGCTTTTGTGGTTCGATCATAAAAGAGTGGTGGATTTAAAAAGGTGCAGAAATTTAAGTATACTTGGAAGTATTTTTTTAACAAAACACAAAATATCCCACCAGTAATTTAAATATTCATAATAGCCTACAAAAAGTATAGGCTATAATAATTGACTAAGAGTGTGTGACTAATTAAACTAACTTTAGCTGGTGCATCTATTAACAATGTGTTATCTATAGCATTGTACTTTTAGAAATCTGCCCATTTTTTTTTTAAATTTAGTTTGTCCCATTATTCATTTTGACTTGTAGAGCTCAAACATTTGTGCAGGGCATAATATGTTAAATATTGAAACCAGTTTGATTGTTTGACAGAAACGCAGAACGTGCATATCATTCTGGATTGCATGAAAACCCGTGTGACATGAGAGTCTGATGTTTTCTCGTTCAGCCCAAAGACATAGCCCACCTTTGGGAGCTGGGAGGAGGGACTTCTTTGTCAGACCTGATACAGATTCCCATTACTCCTACCAATATTAGGTTGGTTATTTTTTTCTGAGAACAAATATGCTTCAAGCAGCAGTATCTTGCCAGCAACATTTTCCTTAATGGGTCTTGCTACAGCACAAGGTCATGTCTGTCTTGTTTTCAGGTTGCTTTCTGTTGTCCTCCTCCTGGACCTGTCTAAACCCAACACTCTGTGGGGGACCATGGAAAAGCTGTTACAGGCAGCTCAAACTCAGCTGGAAAAAGTATTGTCCCAGGTTCAGCAAGCACACAAGTCCAAACCTGGAGCCAAACACCAGAAACCTGTTCAGCCAGCAGCTCGAGTCTTACCTAAAGACTACCCAGTAAGACCTGAGCCCACATGCTTCTTGTTTCATTTGCTTGATTTATAAATCGTAACAGTGTTACAAATCATTTCATCTTTGACAAATTGTTAATAATTCACAAAGTGAAATGTGTCAAGTTCAGTATTAACAACCAAAACTAAAAGCTGCTGTTTTTATGATAAAGAAGAAAATTTAAAAGTAAATCTCGTCATACAGGAACAACGTTTAACATGATGCGTAAGGTTTTGAATGCGCTGTTTATGTGATTCTTTCCACAGGACAGAGAGCTGGTTAGTCCATTTCCTGCTCCTCTGCTCATCATTGGCAGCAAATATGACCTCTTTCAGGTAAAACATGATTCATTGTTACCAGTCGGCTGCAGGTGGCTTAAAACAGGTTGGATTTTTACTGCCTGTTTTAAAATTTTTAAATTTGCAATTTATTTTAGACGTGTGCCTACAGTCACAGTTAATATTAGATTTATTTCTGTATAAATTACATGAATCCTTGTATAATCACTGGAAAATGTGAGAGTAAAATGTTTTTTTGTTTTGTTTTTTCCAACTATTTTGTAGGAATTTGACTCTGATAAGAAGAAAGTGATTAGTAAAACACTGCGTTTTGTTGCCCATTACTACGCCGCCTCTCTAATTGTAAGTAACTCACATCACAAGTTTAAATATGCTAAACTTTATCTTTTTTCTTCTTACTACTGTTATTTACATAAACTTGTTTTTTCTCTGTTTACGTGTTGAATCTTTTATTAGTTCACAAGCAATAAATCCGAGAGCCTGATGTCAAAAACCAAGAGCTTCTTCTCCCATTTGGCATTTGGTCTGGACAGAGGGTGAGAAGAAAACCCCAAAACAATAAAACAAATAGAAGTAGAAAGTGTTACACAAGTAAGGTTAGATTTCCTGTTCTTGTTAGAGTTAACTATATTTACAATTGTCTAATATGTAGTAGTTTTTATTTGAGTTGTTTTTTGGTAATTTGTTTTTATAGATATAAGATGTTCACATAAAGCAACAATACTGAGGTCTACCTTCTTTTTTAATAAATGTTATAATTTTCAGTTTTTGCTCAAACTCTTGTCTAATGTTTCAGTTTGTGATTGTCCTTTTGTTGCATTTTTCAGAATCCATTGATGTACTACAATGTAGATAAATGCAGTGAACACAGTTATAGCAAATAAAAAAAAACATTTTGTTGATATTTATGCACTTTACTTGTGTAATATTTTAATCTTTTTTATTATTTTTACTTTTTGTTTTAAAGGAAAACCATGTCCTGTGACCCTGGTAAACCTCTCATCATTTCAGCAGGCCTGGACTCTTTCAGCCAAATAGGTGAGCACAGCGCCGCCTACTGGACAAATGTTGTAATGCATGTAAACAATCCTGAACCAGTTTACAGTTTTGACGGTGATATCTGAAGTTTGACATGAGCAGGATTACGTGACACTGTGTTTAAAATATTATTTATAATTTAGGCTCCCCTCCTCTTACTGATGTGGACATAATGTCTCTGCATGCAAAAAGCCCCAAGGATCTCTGGAAGAAAGTGTACGAGCGAGTCTTTCCTAATGAGGTATTTCTCTGACAACACATTTGTTTGTTTTGCAACAGAAATGTGACAATGGTTTAGCCTCTAAAGTTTTGGATTAAAGTCTGCATTTCTGCTTCATTAGTACATTCACCAGAGCAGCATTCAGTTTTCAGAGTATTTGAGGGTTTTTTTCTGTGCAGAGTGTCAGTGAGCAAAAGCAACTAAAGGATCCATCCAAAGACCCACAGTACAGCGAGCCTCAGATTGATGCCATGAGAGCACAGAAAGACCAGGTAACACTTCTTCAATCACATGCTGAGTTCTCAGTACTTTTATATTTTATACAACTATAGTGAATGTATCAACCCCATCAATAATTTCGGCTCGCTTGGCTCTGCTGTGCGTCCTTGAACTTTGTTTAATTGCGAGAACGTCTATAGATAAGAAATTATAAGAATATTTAAAAGAAAACAGAAGAGATAAGTACCACAGTGACAGTTGTGCGAGTAAGTTGTAAGACAGAATGCTGGATTTAGATCAGATGAGAGCTCAGATGGGAACCTTTTGGCTATCTTGGTCACTTTTAATCGCTTGCTACTGTCCAGTGTTTAAGCATTTAATTTTATTCATTTTAACCAATGTTTCATAAATACAATAACTGCCAACCTGGAATTTACCACATCTCAGTGAACCACATTCAGCCAGGACCAGCCATGTAACAATTTTTACAACTTAGATTTTTTTTAAATCACATTAAACATAAGAGAGAGACGTTGGGGTGCTCCCTGAGATAATAGGATTATACAGATGTTTACCTCATATAGTGACTTTATAGGTCAGAATCTGTTGTAAAATCTCAACATTTATAAGTGTGTTAATATAGGAAAACATTAATTTTCTTGTCAATTCTTTTTATTTTACCAAATTAACTTTTGTCTCTTTACTCTTCTTCACATTTTTGTGAAGATTAATGAGCTGAAGTGACCTTTTGTCCTGCAGTAACCTGAACGCAGCAGAGTTTCTGTGATAGCCTCCTCATTAAATGACTGTAATAATATCCTGTAGCCATAAAATCAGAGATTCCGTATCTTTTCGTGGGCCTGCCAGCTGAACTGCAGTTACCTGTTAGTGTCCTACCCAAACCATTCACTGTTATCTCACCTGATGGGAGCTTTTTATTTTTATTTTTTGTTTTGCAATGGGACAATGCATGACAAGAACGGTCTGAAGAGCCAGAAGAAGAAGCATCTTTCTGCAAAAGTCCAGAAAAAAAACAACAAAAATACAACAACATTGTTTTAAATAAATCAGCCAATCTGGAATAAAACATCTAACCATTTTAAAATATTTAACACATTTTAATTTTAGCCCCATAAAACAAAAGAGATGGCATTCCTCCTGGATATGAACTTAGACAACTGTAATTCAGGGGAGATTCAGAGAAAATCCACCAGTGTGTATAATGCTAATTATTCTTTAAAGATTTTAACTAATACGTTAATAGAAAAAATACACAAAAGGGGAAAAAATACATCTCTGAAACAATTTAATTATTTTAATTCACCTAAGTGCATCACGTGATACTATTATACATTCTGTGTTTTGTATTGACCTTTTGCTGTTAAAAGAACTTGTTTTTCTGCTTCTAATGCTCGAATTATTTTTCATAACGTTTAAAACTGTTATTTATTTCTTTTTCGTCTTTGTTTTCAGGAGTTGGAGCAGTATAAGAGGAACGCAGCAAAGTCATGGAAAGGACTGAATCTGGAGACATAAGAGAACTTTATTACACACACGCTTTAAACTACTAATAATGTATATTCAATTTACATATTATTTATTTTGTGGATGTTTTTTCATGCAGTTTTTAACTAACTCAATAAACAAAACTAAACTTTTTATTTCAGGAGTTGTAGATAAAACACTATTGCGACATGTTAATTAGAAATTAGAAAAAGAACTCATGCGCATCATAATTTGCTGGCAATATTTAAAAATTACATCACGCGGTTGATTATCAGGAGATGTTGGAAAGTCTAAACTGTTGCTCACACCTTTGGAAGCTGATTGAGTTCTTGATATTCCATCACTGAGCACCATAAGTCCTCACCTGTAGGACCGGATCCATCTTCAAACAACGCTGTCTTATTGACCTCTCTTAATGACGTCATCACTGTGAGTAAAGTCAGTTCATGTTTTCGCTAAAATACTTGGGACTGTTTCCGGCAACATTTTATCTTTTCCTTGGAATACATTTCAACACAAACATTGAGTCTTAGAGACACACACATACCCTGATGTGACGTGCAACAGACACAGGCTGCACACAGTAAAACATTTTTACATATAATGCACAGTAAAAAGAAGTTCGTTCCACTTCCATCACAGTTTAAATCATTAGAAATAAAGTGCAGCTTTTTATTTTAACAGAACATTCTGCTACAAACACGAGTTCGGGGCTTTAGTGATGCATAAGCTTGTCTCTGATCTTGAAGCTAATGATGCCCATCAGAACCAAGGCGGGGAGGAAGGAGTAGAGGAGAAAAAAGTCGAGTAGGTATCGAGACAGAGCTCCAGGATAACCCTGATCGATGATCTGATTGCCTTTAGTGACCATGCAGGCTCCTGGTAAGAATTTTGTTACATCTAGAGGAACAGAACACGGGATGAAGTAGGACACATCTGGATTTTTTTTAATGCAGATTTTGTTTTTCAAAAAGAAGCTTGCAATCTGAGTTTCTACGTGCCCTATCAGGCACATTGAGCTCATATTTAATCATCTTAACATCAAAAGTTATCAGAAGAATTATAGCATGCTAATACTCCATAATAAAATTAAAGATTGGATTAAAGTGTGCAATTGTTAGTCTTTGATTACCATAAAAAGTTAAATTATTAGAGGTTGTTTTGTGTTTGTAGGCAGAAACACAGGACTGAGGTGAAGTCGACTCACTGCAGGTGAAGTCCAGATTGTAGAACTCGGTGACGATGAGCAGCTCACAGCTGTACTTCTGGAAGGTCAGGTAACTCAGCCACTGAAACACCACGGGCATCTGCTGGATGCTCCTGTTCAGAGGAGGAAGACCATGTTCGCAGTCACTGCTACCAACTTCACTCTCATTAAAAGAATATTTTTAAAATGTCCAATTTACAAACTATTTAGTCACATTAAAGAACCGATGCGGCGTCTCTAACCTGAGGAAGCCAGATCCCACCAGGACTCCTGCAATATTGAGTAAAGCCACTCCGGTGTTGACCATGTTTGGGTCTTGGACCACTCCTAAAAGCACCACGGTTGACAACTCACCTGAAGAAAATAAAAACGGTGAAAGTGTGGCATTAAATGGTTCTGCTCAAGGTAAACATCTTTTTATTCTGACATTAAATGCTGTAAAAAGGATGAAAACTTGTCTGATATGTCTGTATTTAAGAAAAAGGGGCAGCATGGTGGCTCAGTTGATAAAGCTGTTGCCTCTCAGCAAGAAGGTTGTCGGTTCAAATCAGGGCCTTTCTGGGTGGAGTTTGCGTGTTCTCTCAGTGCATGTGTGGGTTTTCTCTGTATATTATGGTTTCCTCCCACAGACCAAAAACATGCATGTTAGGCTGATTGGTAACTCTAAATTGTCCCTAGGTGAGAGAGAGAGAGAGTGAATGGTTGTTTGTCTCGTTTGTCTCTGTGTCCCTGTGATGGACTGGAGACATGTCCAGGGTGTCTCCCACCTCTCGCACAGTGATGGCTGCACATGAACACCAGTGACGCCCGTGACCCAAAAAGGAAGGAGCGGATATAGATAATGGATGGACGCTGTAAATTTGTTCTTGAGAGTTTGTGTGAGAAAACATCTAACAGCCCGGTGGATGAGCAGAAATCTCATTTTAACCTTCACCTTTTTGGCTCACCTATAATATGTGGCACCAGAATCACAGCAGTGAAACACAGGAAGCGCAAAGTCTCTGGGTGCATCCCTATTGTCCTGACAATCACACAAATTAAAACAGAAGATTGTAAAAAAAAATTGAAAAAGGACCTATTACTAAATATTTCACAGGTGTTTTTAACATACCAATAAAGAAAGGAGCAGAAGATGGCGATGCTCACAGTGCTGAAGGGCAGGATGTGAAGGATGTAGGCCAAGAACATTTGCCATTTGCTGTAGAGGCCGTCCTGACTCTCCTGATCACTGATGGCTCGCAGCGCAGGGACTATTAATGAGGAAAAAACAAACAAAAAATGAGTTGGACAGAAAATTACTGAGGAGCAATACATTTAAATAACATTTTTGTGCCTAATTCATTGTTGGTTATCTGAAACGGGAACAATTCAATCAAATTATTTGTCTCTAAAACCAAAGAGGCTTGTTCTAAGAAGCTCATCTTGATTCATTAAACTCAATTCTATGAAAAATGCAGCTCAGTATAAAATCCTATCAGTTGTTGCGTATAAAAGTCAAGGACAAAATGATAAAACAATCACTACCTCTGGCTGTATGAAGCACGTTTAGTGCTTCTGCTCGATAATTGTCTTATCTTCTTTTATGTGACACCTAGAGTCTATATGATTAGATTTTAGAGTCAGCTCATGGTTGTAGATAAATGTTGCTCAGCTGTATATTCACTGCACACAGAAACACGTTTCTTACTTTGCTTATGACAATAAATGCTGAGTTGTGTTTATTATTTGTTGTTTCAGATTACCTTAATTTCTCCAGAAGTGGTTATAAAAAGAAATAACCAAAGGCACGCAAATGCCTGAGCTCACTGATAAGCTAAATAACATCAGGAGAGGATTTTGTAGGTTAAAAGCTACTCTGGTTCACTGACCTCCAGACTGACAAAAGTTCATAAACTCTGTAGAAACACCAACTGAAGCACCTCCCGAACACAAACTCTGAACTTGCCCTGGTACTGCGGATAATTTAACTACTGCATATATTTGACCTGTTTCTTCCAGAATATTCCACAGATGCTCAAGCTGTATGTGACGAGCACGGTCGTGGGTTTTCTGCGGGTACTCCAGTTTCCTCAAACAGACCAAAAACATGCATGTTAAACTGATTGGTAACTAAATTGTCCCTAGGTGTGAGTGAACGAGTGAATGGTTGTTTGTCTCTACGGCCATGTGATGGACTGGAGACCCGCCGCTCACACAGTAAGTGCTAGATCTGGGCACCAGTGACCCCCGTGACCCACAAAGGAAGAAGCAGGTCAAGATAATGGATGGATGGCTCACTAAATTATTCCTTGGGTTTCTAATGAGCGGCAGGGTGTTTTATCCTGCTAAAATAATTAAGTGCTGTGAATATTAATTCCACTTTTCTTCTTATTTTTACCTTTTTAGACACACACTGCACATTATGGAGTCATGATCAGGTGCAAGGACTGGACAGAGAATGGGACAATGAATCCAAGCTTCCAATTTCAAACCATTTTGAAAGATTACAAGAAAGTCTGGCTCAGTGAAAACTTGGATGCTTGGTTTAAAACTTTTGCACAGAACTGTAAGTCTGTGGTGTTGGCGGGACTCACAGAGAGCGACAGCGTTGAGCATGCCAGTGTAGGGCGGAGCAGCCACACACTGATAGATGATGCCAATGCGGTCCTGCACGGCCCCCTTGGTGACGTCCATGTCTAAATGCATGACGAAGAAGGCCACGAAGAAACCGTAGATCAGGTTCTGGAACAGACGCATCAGAACCCCCATCTTGTTTCTGGAAAAGTTTCTGACTGTGCGCCTGAACACATGGGAACACATCCAAAATGTCACTGCGTGGAGAGTTTACACATGTCAAATGTACGTCAGGTCTTTACAGGGGTTGTTCTGAACGGTACTGACCTAAACAGAACTTCGAGCTTGGCAGCACCGTTGGGCGAGTCTTTGCTTTTAAAGGGGATTGCTGACTTGTCAGATATCTGCAGGCTCTGCTCCATTTTGTCCAGCATGTTCTGGTAGATGGCAGATCTCTGGTAGGACGAGGTGATCCCATGCATGCGACTGAACGTGGCCGCCTCCCTCTCACTGCTGTGTGTGTCCACCGAGGTGAAGTCAACTGTTTGGGCATGATCCAAACCAATACACTTAAGTTTAATCTGATAGTGAGCAAAATGTGGTCTTAAATACAACTGAACGAGTAAAATACCATATGTATCAAAAGGGTTGCAGTACTCTGGGCACTCGTATCCGCACTGGCTGAAGAAATCCACCATCTCCTCTGGTTGTCCACAGAATACCAGCTCGCCTCGACTCATTATTGCAATTCTGCTGAACACCTGAAGGTCCAACACACATATCAACCAATAACTTTATTGTGTGGCGTCAAAAAAGGTATTCATTTCCCTTGCACGTGCAACCACAAGCATCAACATAGTTTATTGGAATTCTGTCTTTAAAAAAAAAGATTAACGTTTTTAACTGCAATATTTTCTACAAAGTTACAACTGCTTCAGTGAACATTTTTAAAAACGCTTTAAAAAAATGTGAATGAATCATTCTAAGGAGTGTTATAGTCACTAATCTATCTTCAGCTCATCTTCACACCCACCCTGAAGAGTTCGGAGCGTGGCTGATGGATGGTTACTACGACGATCCGATTTCTCCGGGCCAGCTCTGCCAGCAGCACCACGATCTGATTGGCCGTCATGCTGTCCAGGCCGGTGGTCGGCTCATCCAATAGGATCACCCCTGCAACAACATCATCCCGGTGACCTCATGGCTGTCTCTGCAGGTTTATGAAACTCTTGAGTTCTAGGTTAGACAAGACCTTCTTTTATTTCATCCAAGTTTGAAACTTCTAAATTCTTATTAAGTGGCACAAGCGGGACTCTCTGTTGGGCCAAAACTTGTGAAGATAAGTGAGTTCTCTCTCAGTTTTTTAGTTAATTACTCTAATTAGGACAATTAAAAGATTGCCTCTTTGCATTATAAAAGTAGAGTGGAATTAGCAGATGCCTTAATTGTGAGATTAATTCATTTCCTGGTTGATTGAAGAGGCAGCGAAAGGGAACTTCTCATTACTCGGTGTGAGTGTGTGTGTGTGTGTTCATGGCCATTTAATTCTGAATGAGGACGAAGACCCTCCATCCTCCCTGGAGGACTATAGACCTGATAAACTCCACCTGGGAGGAGCACATGCACACACTGAGGTTGGTCTCTGCTCATTCCCTTCATAGTGCGATAACCCGAGCTTTAATACTATTCATCTCTCTCTTCGTCTCTTCTGTCCTTTCCTTAGTCCCATCCTACTTAGATTCTTTTGTTTCTTCCAGTGCAGACTTTGAAACTCTTGAGGGGAGACTCGGGTCATATTTGAAACTTTTTTTTTTCTGGTCACAGTAAAGTCTTGTTTTTCTTCTACTGTTTATATGCAGATGTACTATTAATTTAAATTATGTCACAGTGCACAGATTTGTATTTGCTTCCATTCAGGAGTTGTGGTTTGGATATTTTAGGGGTTTTTTTTTTTGTTTTTTTTTTTTGCTCTGGTTAGTGTTTGACTTGTTTTAGGCCATATTTGAACAAATGAGGCAACATTTTCTGATGTTGTATTTCAATTTTGTTCTTAGTCTCATGTTCTTTTAAAGTTTAAAATGTCACCTGTAATAAACATTTTCAACAAAATTTTATCATTTTAATTTGAACTTAAACGTTTATGTGACAATTATTGTATGTTATTGTAAATTTTCTGTGTAGAAGAAGAACTTACTTGGATCCTGAAGTAACTGACTGGCGATGGAGACCCTCCGTCTCTCACCCCCAGAGATTCCTGGGAAAATGCGGCCTCCGATAACACTGTGCGCCACATGACTCAGACTCAGCTCGGCCATCACTGCCGACACCTGCGTGCCAGAGGTCAAAGGTCAGAAGGCAAGAGGCAATGATTTGATCAGTAGTGGGACATATTTCTGCAACTTAATTTGTTTTGGATCAAAACAACAGAAAAAGAATAAACTCTTAAAACATAAAACGTCTTTTTTGTAATGGATAAACAAAATGTGACCTTTTTCTTGATAGCTTCTGCTGAGTGTTTCCGCAGGGCTAGCTGTGCTGTGTACGTCAGGGTTTCCTCTACTGTCAAATAACTCAGCAAGTTATCACTCTGGAAAACAAAAACAAGGACAAATTGAAGTTGTTGGGTTTTTTTTTAAGCTGCACTAAGGCAGATCAGTCAGTAGATAAAGATAAGATAGTAGTAGTAGAGCCGTACAGTAGATAAAACTAAAGTTAAAAAAAAAAGTAATTCATACATAAAGTGGCCATTTTATGCTCTTTTATCTGAACATTACTGTATTTTCCAGCCTATAAGTCACAGTTTGTTGCATAATTTGCATGCTCTGCTACTTATACACTGAAGCGATTATTATGGATTTTTTCCCCATATTTATAACTCAATTTTTGGCTGAGATATGACCGTTTTCATTCATTCTGACATTGAAAATATTGAACACTACCATTTTCAGCCACTAGATGGCACTTTAAAAGTATGGCATGCTGTTGTGTCATGCAATAGGTAAAAGTGGCTATTAATGACACAATCGACTTGCCTTAGCCTGCCACCATCATCCAGCTCTGGGATCATGCCTGGAGCAACCATCAAATCAGCTTCATTTCGTTGCACCGTCCCGGCGAAATGCAGCTGATTTAACCATTAAAGTGTATTTATTAAGTAAAAGTTCAACTGAGACACACCTTTGCTATAATGTCAATCAAACAGATATTTGTTTTAGGTGCTTATCTTGTCAAATCTCATAGAAATGCACAGCGAGTCGTACCTCTGCGCGCTCCCGCTCCCGCGAATCAGCTTTTGAAATGCAGCTGATTTGACCATCAAAATGCCTTTATTAAAAAAAGTTAGACTGAGACACATCTTTGCTATAATTTCGAGCAAACAATTGTTTTTATGTGTTAATCTTGTTAAATTCTTGTTAATGTCCTCCCGTGCACGCTCCCGCGGGTGCCATTTGGCAGCCAATCGATTTTTGGTACAACACCGGCCCACATTTCCAGGTTGTCAGCAATGACGCATAATAGATGCGACGAATACGGCGAAGCGACGTATTTATGGATTTTTCCACTTTATTAGACATATTTGGACTGATGTGACTTATACGGAGGTGCGACGTGTACGGTGGAAAATACGGTAATTGAAAAAATAACCTGTTATTCTACAAAAAGTCAAAGTTGTTGACATTAATGTATTTTCATATTGTTCTCAGTATGTGCTGTTGTAGTACTTTTATTTCTCAAGACTCTCTCTTAAAACACAAACTTTGCTTTGATTCAGCAGGTTTTTGATCCAGAAATGTCTAAATTCAACCCAAAGGTAAGAAAGAAAGACAAATATTGTAATTTAAAACAAACCAAAAAAAAAAAAAAATGTGTTCAAAAAGCCACAAAAAGTATATGACTGTTGTTAAGGCATTGTGCCTTTCACGTTCGCAAAAATATAAAATAAAAAAGATTTTGGATCACTTTTCTGCTAATTTTGTAAAGCAAATCCCTGCTCAGTGCACATCTTTTTAGGAAATCAAGGGACGTTCTTTTTACTTCTGTGTTCATGATTGTTGTGCAAATACGCACACTTCAAGCAGCTGAATCTGCTCCTGCCTCTAATAACACTGGAGGCTCCCCTCCCAGGCCCACCCCTCCCTATTCTCTCATCCAAATGACTTTAATATCTGGAGCTCATATCACCTCCTCATCTATGGCTTAGCAGTGGAAGTTAATGACGAGGCTTAGAGAGCAGAAGGGCGTGTGCGCTATCAGTGAGAAGAAAGATGATTTCTAAAGGAGCAAAGCCAGTTTTCAAACCAGCGTTTTTAATTCAGGTTTTTGACACACATGAGCACCTCTCCTTGAGAGATTAAGCATGTGAGGAGGCTATCGAGGGTCTTAAGTTAATTTCATAAAAAGGCCAGGGTGGCCTTTTCGGAGTTTTATTAAATGGGTGTTTTTCTCTTTCTCTATATGATCTAGCATGTTATAGAAGCAACAATTACAGTGAAACGTGCGTTTACTTTGTCTTTTAGGGTCTTAAATTACCTTTGTATCAATATTTATCTAATATTTAAAGTGTTTTTTTTTTTCAGGATAAAGTTTGAGACTAGATTGTCAGTTTTGTGCTATTTAAAATGAGTCTATGTTTGTGTGTGTTACCTGCAGGACATAGGAGAAACAGTCCTGATACTCTTCTCTCTTCAGTTTCCTGCCATTTATGAAGACCTCCCCCAACAGCGTGCCGTTGCTTCCAATCCTCCCTGAGATGGCATCCAACAGTGTCGTCTTCCCCGAGCCTTTCCAATGCGACGAGGACACACAAACACGGTATTCACAGAGCAGATTCAAATCTAGACACTGGAGTTTCTGTCTAATTCTATATTTTGATCGAGCACTTTGGAGCTCTTTTTTTAGATCTGATATTTAAAAGAAAAAAAAAAACTGGTTCAAATTGAACACTTTGTTTTGTGCAATGAGGTGAATAAAAACCTGAGTTGCCCAGGATGCCCATTATCTGCCCACTGTCTACGTGGAAGGAAACGTCGTTGAGGATCTGACGAGTCCATCGCTTCCTATAGGAGGGTAGATCCCACCATGGTCCAACACGCTCACTAAATCATCACACACGACCAATATTTTAAAATCAGTTTATTAGATTATTTCTTATTGTAAATGACGACCTGAAAGACTTCCTGCTGTACAAATACATGTTCAGATCTCTCTTGTAAATGAGTAAATGAGGCTCAATGGGATTTACCTGTCTAAATAAAGGTTGAATGTATTTATCAGCAAAGGTTGATTTGACTCAAACCAGCCTGCATGAGTGTAAAATAACTAGATGTTCATCAACACTTTGTTTAATTCAGTTCTCTGTTAGTTCTTACCTGACAGTGTAGGAGATCTTTCTGACACTGAGGCAGCAGGACGACTCTGACATCTCCTCTCCACCTCTGCTCCACACATCCCTCTTCTCCTCGGACACAAACTTGAAGGACTCTGTAACACGTGCTCCGTTGTCCGGCTCCAACGCTTGCACTGAATAAAAAGTGTTCATGTCTCTTCACCTCCAAACCACAGCCGTGCACGAGTTTGTTTCTGCTCTCTGTGCAGAGCAGCAGTACGAGGTCTCTCAGAATCATAAAAAAAAACACACACACTGTGAACGGCGTGTTATCTCAGAGAACTTTGATCTGAAGTTGTGTAAAGGTAAATGAAGAAAAGAAAAAAATCACTCCAGTTAGGCAGATTCACAAACTGTCAGTGTGTCCTCTGTCCTCGTATCGTGGACTGCTTTTAGAAAAGCAACGAGGATGAAGAGGGTGAATCACTGACACGACATGAGCTTGGATGTCTTCAGGCTTGTGAGCTATCAGAGGAGATCTTCAGCTGGACTGGAGTTTACCACAGAAAAGAAAAATAAACCTCATCATCATCATCATCATCATGGACAGAGAAACTGGCTTCAGTCACAAAAACAGCTTTTTACAGGTCAATCATTTTATTCTACCTTAACTTACTGTTGATTCATTCGAGCTGCTTTTTAAAATCATTTTCTCTCTTTGTACTTGCTGAGATTAATGACCATTTTTAATGCCGCCATTTAGCAAAGTACAGCTCACTTGCATGCATTTTCAACTAAAAATTGTTTATTTTTAATGTATCTTTTTCAAATCCGTTGCCGTAACAATGTTCTGGTAAAACTGCAAAGTGTCTTCTATTGTGCAGACATTTGCAATGATTGAATTATTCAATTCTTGTCATTTATTTTTCACTTTCACGTGAATATTTGTGCATTAATTGGGAATATTTTGGCATTAACTAACAGTAATTATGTGATTTTATGCCTCTTAAGCAACTGTTTGTATGTGCATGCCAATACAACAAAGATAAGCATAAGACTACCTGTAAATATATTAGTAATGAAAGGGTTTTGGCAGATTTGCTCAACAGTTAGATATTTATTAACTCGTATGTGGAGAGACGGACAAGTTTTCTGATTAACTCGTGTTATGACTAACTAATGATTTGTGTGATTTTTATAATAAATCTGGACTTCTAATAATTAATGAAACCAAATCTTCCTTCTTACAGACTTAACTGGTATAGGTTTAGTAAGAAGTTTTTATTTTTTAGAATTAAATACTAAATTATTGTCTATATTTTGGCTGAATGGAACTCACTGACTTGCCTTCTTGTCTTCAGCAGCATCAAGATACAGAGTTGTTCTCCTCTGAAGAAGACAGCAGTCTGTACTTCACCTACAGCGGAGGGTGCAATGAGCTGGAAGTCAACAACCTGCATTATCAGGTGACTTTTGCCTGCAGGTCCAACCTCTTTAAGAGCGCCGTTGATTGTACGAGCAGACTGCGTAAACGTGTGCGCTCCTGTAGGTGGACACGGCGGCTCAGATCCCCTGGTACGAGAGGCTGTCTGAGTTCAAACTGCCCTGGGAGATCGGAGGGAACAAGCAGATGGCCATCAACAACCTGAGTCTGCGAGTCCACAGCGGACAGATGCTGGCGGTCATCGGCAGCTCGGGTGATGCATAAACACGCTGATGTTTTAGCTGTTTGACTTGAAACAATTCTGCTCTAACGACAAATAAATGTCTGAAACAGATCTGGAGCATGAACATCACAAAAAGTTTAGTCCTCTTCATGCCAAGGATCATTTATTTAACATCCTTCACGTCAAACATCAGTTTTATTAACTCATTTAAGACTCTGCTCCACTTGTTGGACATTTGGTTGCATTTGAGGAACTACTTTTTTCTCCAAGTTGTGACACTTTTGTTCCACTGGTTGGCTCCAAAAATGTCAAGCTGTCAGCTTTTTAACACAACTGAACTACTGGACTAAACTAGTAAACACCCATACTGTGCTAGTTAACTGTTAGAGTGTAAAAACCCAAGTATGTCAATTAATCAACACAAATTCTGTCTATTTGTACACCTACTGATACTCATAAATATTTTAACTTTAGGTGGTTTTATTTTGCTAGTTATCCAGTGCAGCTAAAATGTTAATTGACAAGGGTTTAACTAGAACGTTGTAAGCTACTCAGCCTGTGAGGAGTTAGGGCTTTACTATGTAACTAGTTAGGCCAAACTTAGTCACACTAGTCAACTAATGAAATATTTGAGCTTTACTAGTTAACCAGTAAACATTTCTAGCAGCACTTCTTAACAAATGAGGACAAAATGGTCTTATAAAAGGAACTAGTGAGTGTTTTAGGTTCACAAATGTATTAGTTATTTATTAGTTTATTATTTATTTTAGATCACATTAGTCGACTAGTGCACACATTTAATTAACTCGTAATACTAATTGGCAGAATTTGTGTTGATTGGTTGTCCTGTTAGGGTTCTTGTTGCTCACTTATTAACTATTAGGACACATTTGTTCACTAGTTTGGTCCAGTGGTTCACTAGTGTGCTAAAAAGGGAACAAGTTGAAGATTTTGGGCTACTAGTTTCACTAACTAGTGCAACTTTCTTCTTCTTCAAATTTTCTTTAGTTGGTATGAATTTTTTATTAAGAGTATTTGTGTAGGTGGTAATATGTTTAATATTTGATCATGGTACATTACCACACATGCACAAACATACAGTAATTTAGAGTCAAAAGCCAAAACATACCCACAGTGCTTTGCATTTCCAGTAACAAACTGCAAAGAGAAGGTGCTCTTACTGTTAACACTTGTGGCATTAAACTGTAAAACTAAAGTGAGGACCAACAAAAAACTATAACATACCAGTTTTAAAACACAGTAACCCACAACCAAAGATATACACATAATACTTTGCATTATAGAGGGACAAACTGTAAAGACAAAATGTGGTGATTGTTCTGTAAAGTTGGTGTAATTAACCGTACATTTACAGCAAGAGATAACGCTGCTGTGCACCAAGACGTTAGGCTAGTGCACGTGTCTAACTCAAGGCCTGCAGGCCAAATCTGGCTCTTGTTAAGATCTTATGTGGCCCCCCAGGATGATATTTTAAACGTAAAATATATTTGTCAATTCTTATTTTGCTTAAAAACTGGTAAATATTGTATTTAGTTCAAACTGATTAAATTTGAAGGTAGAAAAAAAAGTGGATTTTTCTGTCATTTTTGATTCTGATGTGGAAAGAGCAACAGAGAAACGTCATGAAGCCGATCGAACTCTTGTTGTGGAACCTGCAACCAAGAAAAGATGCCAAATATCTGACTGGAGTTAATGTATCGACTAATAATTGGCCCGTGGCTTGAATCAAGTTTTTAATTCTGGCCCCCTTTTGACTCCTCAACCAAATGTGCAACCAGTGCAGAAAAGTTGTGAACTAGTCAAGAAAAATAAATCTGATAACGAGGATAATCAATAAATTCACATTTTCCATAAAGTTGTCCCTTTATCGTGGACTTGTCCTCCTCCAGGCTGCGGCAAGACATCTTTGCTGGATATTATAACTTGTCGGGACGAAGGAGGAACAATGACATCCGGTCAGGTTCTGATTAACGGGAAGCCCAACACCCCACAGCTGGTGAAGAAAAACATCGCTCACGTCCGCCAAGACGACCGTCTTCTTCCTCACCTCACCGTCCGTGAGACCCTCAGCTTCGTGGCCCAGCTGAGGCTCCCCACTTTCTTCACACAAGCTCAGAGGGATCAAAGAGTGAGACTGCAATGATTTTTAAAACAAACGCATCATTTCAGATTCTACATTTATATAGAGAGACTATTTTTTCTGACTACACGAACGCTTGATGTGGCCTGTCACAGGTGGATGATGTTATCGCTGAGCTGCGACTGCGCCAGTGTGCACACACCAGGGTGGGCAATGACTATGTGAGGGGGGTTTCTGGAGGAGAGAGAAGGAGAGTCAGTATAGCTGTGCAGCTTCTCTGGAACCCCGGTGAGAAACATGAATATGAATCAGATCTGAAAACCCTGAGAATTTCTCATGCTCTTCATAACAAAATAGCTTTCATGCAGGTGGATGGCCTGTGTGATGTAACATGTTGTGTATCTGCAGAGTTTAATCTGCTTCTTTAAACATTTAATGACCAGATTTATTTCTTCACCATCCTGCAGGGATTTTAATCCTGGACGAGCCAACTTCAGGTTTGGACAGCTTCACTGCCCACAACCTGGTCATCACTCTGTCCCGCCTCGCTAAGGGGAACCGTTTAGTCCTGCTGTCGGTCCACCAGCCTCGATCAGACATCTTCCAGCTCTTCGACCTGGTCGTGCTGCTCTCTTCAGGTTCAGCTGTTTACTGCGGGGCAGCTCGAGACATGGTGCCTTACTTCACTGCTCTGGGGCACCCCTGCCCACGATACTGCAATCCCTCTGACTTCTACGGTTAGTGTGATCATCATAACAGGGATGTTTTCATCACTCAACACTTCTTGGCTTTTTGAGGACTTTAGGGATTAGACTAATGATGTTCCATGCATCCATAAGTGGCGTTAAAGTGATGATAATGTTCTTGACTGTGCTTTTTTTTTTAATCACCGTCTGTTCTGTTTGTCCAGTTGATCTGATCAGTATAGATCGGCGCAATCCAGAGCGAGAGGCTGAGAGATTGGAGCAGGTCAGACTTTTGTCTGAGCAGTTTAAAGAAAAGGTCCGAGACACCACTGACCACATGTGGAAACCAGCGGAAATCAATGCAACACAGACCGACAGGTTCAGCCTCTAACTTCTCTTGTTTCCAATGTACCATCTCAGACTCCAGCTTTCAATCACTTGAGTTTTTACTTGACTTACTTTATACTTTATTGTCATTGCCATAATAAGAACAGTCACGGATAGCAACGAGATTTTGATCGAGTCTCATACGCCTACACAGTAATAAATTAGCACATAGTGGTGCGAAAGAACTTTGCAAGGTTTTGATGATCAGTGTAAACACAGATAATAATACAGCGTCTAAGGGCAGGCGAGAAGAAGTGTAAACAATCAGATGTTGAAGGGGTAGAAATTAGTTGCTGCACAGTTATTGTCACGATGAGATTTGAGATGTGAGGAAAGTGGGCGTGGTCACAGAGAGATGCTGTTTGTCTCACAGCCTGTGGGTACAGACTGTGAGCCATTCTGGTGGTCCTGGCACCTATAGACTGGTACCTTCTGATGGAATAGGTCATGTGCAGGATGGTACCTATCCTGCAGGATGTTGTCGACTCGTCTCAGACAGTGTGTTGTGTACTTTGTAGCTAGTTCTGATCTCCGGGAGGGTAATCCCGATGATCCACCCGTTGGAGAGCCTGCTGGTCTGTCTTAGTGCAGCTGGAGAACCAAATCCATAGGTTAATACACTTCCAATAGCACAGTTATAGAAGTTTTTTTTTTGTTTTTGAAGTATGAATTATCGTTGTTTACAAGTAGAGATTCTCTTTGTTTTCAATGTTAGTGTCCTCCACCTGTGTCCTTGGAGTCTAAGGGATATCTAGGATCAAAATCAAAAACAGCCAGTGCTGCACGTTTTATACAGCAGAATTTGAGATTTAGCTCTTTCGTCTGACAAATTAACTTCTTACCACCCAGTTATGTTTTGAGAAACCTGAATAAAGATGAATGTCATAGCTTTCCTGTCTTCATGTCCTGCAGTGTCCAGCAGTCAAGCAGAAGTAGAGAGGAACTCATCACTATTTCGAGGGAACATAACGAGCTGCCCGGTAAACTGAACCAGTTTACGATCCTCATCAGGTGAGGCACACAGAATGACGTCTCAGAGCACCTTGAAGAGACACGCAGCCTCTGACCCGTCCTCTCCGCCAGGCGTCACATGTATAATGACTTCAGAGACCTGGTCACCTTGTTGGTCCACGGCTTCGAGGCCCTTCTCATGTCACTGCTGGTCGGTTGTTTGTATTTCGGGGCCGGAGAAGAGCGTCTGAACATCCAGGACACAGTGGCCCTCCTCTACATGATCGGAGCTCTCACCCCGTTCGCTGTGGTGCTGGACGTCATAGCTAAATGTAAGCATTTAAAAGGTCCAGATCAAACTGATACAGACGCATGGTTTGGATTGTTTAACACAAACCTTTTTAGTCAAGAACACAAAAAGGAAAATATCCTCGTCTTCCAGACATAAACCTCAACCTATAACTTTTCATAAAATTTTAGTCTTTTTCTCAAATAATCCTAATCCTAATAAATATTCACATCTTTTACAAGATAAATACCAGTAATACAAAAAAAAAATCCTTAATTTTTCTTTTAAAACAACCAGGTAGTTAGAATATTAATGAGAACAAACATGTTAATACTCTAAGATGAGCTAAATATGTGATTGACATTCATTTATATTCTTCTTCTAATTGAGCAAATATGATAAATATGGTGTCATATATTTATAGTATGATCAATCAGATAAAAACAGGTTTTAATTGCCAACAAATATGTGCACTTATTACACAACCACATCTATGAATTTTAATTTTATGAACTAAACTTGCCAATACGGGATATTTTTCCATCTCAAATCATTAAAAATTGGAAAATCAAAATATAAACAAAAACATTCACAATAGGAACAGATATTTTGCAGTGCGAGAAACGTACAAAGCAACACAGCAACGACATAAAATGCTCCATAAGTGATATTTGTTCAGGTGTAATGTACACGAACGTTGTATTTTTTCACGTTTTGGTTACAAATCTGTATCTTTAAATTGTTTTATTTTTTCTGTAAGACAGATTCACATTTAAATATAAACTCCTGTGAAAGTGTAACCAGTGTATGATTCATGTTGTGGAGCACAGATTGACTGATGCTCTCTGCAGGTCACACAGAGAGGGCCATGCTCTACCACGAGCTGGAGGACGGCATGTACTCTGTCACCTCTTACTTTTTTGCAAAGGTAAACCACAAAGACTGAACTACATCTCCTGCAGGGGTCAGTCTTGCTCCACGAGTCCATCACTGTGTGTGAAATATGATCCAAAGGGCACATCTGATGTGTGAGCATTTCAGAAGGTGCTCTGTTCTTTCAGGTCTTGGGGGAGCTCCCTGAACACTGTGTGTTCACCTTGGTCTATGGTCTGCCCATCTATTGGTTAGCAGGCCTTAACGAGGCTCCAGACCGTTTCCTGCTCAACTTCCTGCTGGTGTGGCTGATGGTTTACTGCAGCCGAGGCATGGCCCTGTTTGCAGCTGCCGCGCTGCCCACCCTGCAGATCTCTGCCTTCGCAGGCAACTCTCTGTTCACGGTCTTCTATCTGACTGGAGGGTTTGTCATCAGCTTGGAGAACATGTGGCTCGGTGAGGAGATGCATTCATTCACTCCTTTGAAATGTGTGAAGAACATGAGCAAAGATCTGACACTGTGCATGTTTTGTCTCTCCAGTGGCCTCGTGGCTCTCCTACGCCTCGTTCATGCGTTGGGGCTTTGAGGGGATGCTGCAGGTGCAGTTCAGAGGCAACAAGTATCCCGTCACCATAGGGAACATCACATTCAACGTCGACGGCATACATGTGAGTAAAAACACAGTGATCTCATTGAAAAGTCAGAATCCTTCCAAAACGTTCCCACCATGAGTTGAGGCCTGGATTCACAGGATGGGATCAGACAGTCTTCTGAACCTAAATGTTTCGTCTTTCAGGTAGTGGAGGCCATGAAAATGAACCAGTACCCTCTGTTCTCCTGCTACCTGGTGCTGCTGGCCATCTGTCTGGCCTTCATCTTGCTCTATTTTCTGTGCCTCAAATTCATCAAACAGAAGTCCAGTCAGGACTGGTGAAGAATGGTGCCAACTCCAGTTAAGCCAAAAGCTGCCTGAAATCACATTTTCTTTTGTTTGTCCAAAAGGTGTATTTTTAAAAAGCTTTTTGTTCGACTGGTTCGAAATGAGCGTTTATCCGATGAATTAAACAGTTTATGTTTTATCGAGAAAAATTCAAGGGAAAAATGTTAAAATGACTTTTGTTCATGTTTATTATAATAATCTGAACATCGCATTTTCTTGCTAAATGAGCATCTTGAATCTCAGTAGGGTGGAGTTTAAAAAATTGAAACTATTTTCATAATTTTTTTTCCTTTATATAGAACTTGTTTCTGTGCCACTGTCTGCTGCTGGGTGGCAGCAAAGCACTGCAGACCAGTCCAGATTATTTTTCTATTTTCTTGCTCAGTCTTTTTCTGTCACTGCAGACGATTAGAACTCCAGTTTGGCAGATATCCATCTGCAGCTTTTGCTTGTTCCATTTTCAGTCTTTTTTTTTTTTTTTCCACAGCAGCTTCATCTTTTCTTTTATATAGAAGATTATTAAGCTTACTGTAACAATGCAGAGTGTAGAGCACTAAAAAGAAAAGTCCAGTACAGATTTAGTAAGTCACACTTGTGTCCTCATAGACTGAAGGTAAAGTGTGAGTTTTTGCACAGGTGCAAAGACCAGTTAAATGTTTTACCTGTTTGAGCCCAAATGAATAAAGTAAAAATTGATGACCCGAGTGTGTATGTTCGTTTTTACACTACAACCATTATCCTCCGCATTAAAGTTCTGCAGAACTGAGCACTTTAAACCTGTTATATTATTTAAAAAACCAAACGGACAAACTCTTAACATATAAGAAGTTCAAAATGTTGCTGATTTTTAATTTGAATCTTTAATGAACTCTGCGCCCTGAGCTGACCGTTGGACATCAGCCCACTATCTTCATGGGAAACAACCAGCTGTGTCATCCATCACCTGCTTCCGTCAGAGAAATATTAGAGGCCAAATCTGAAATGCTATATGTTTAAGACGAAGGCCTCAGAAGCAGTCTCTGATTCAGTGATAGTGATTATAAAACTAACTTTGGCATCTATTTGGTTAAATACTTGCAACCTCAAGTCTTATCAATGACTTTAAGGCCGTTTCTTTTGTTTTGCTTTCGATAATCATTTAAAAAAATGCCTTAAAGGCAAGATTTGATGGGAATAAAATGTATTTCCCTGCTTGAAAGTATTTTTTTCTTCTTTAGATAAAGTGGATTTGACTAATAAATTAAAAAATACAGACACTACTCAAATAGTGTGATTTATAATCAGAGCATTATTCATCTTTCTCATTCTGTGCGATTTCACTGAAAGAATTGCAGTTTTTACTCAACGACTTCAATCATTTTCTACATTTTTAAAAATCTGGACAAATTAGAAAATGTGTGTTGTAGATCAAAGGTAAAGATAAAACATTTTGTAAACACGTTCCCTATTCACTTTTTTTAAATTATGATTTTTTTTCTTTTATAATGTTTGAATAAAAAGGGTAAACAAGAAAATATGGTAGCACCCATCACTTTTTGATGGTACTGCGTCTCATTAGTTTTCATTTAAACATTAGTTGACCCGTTTTGGGGTTTAGGCACCAATTTAATTTTTTGAAAGATTAAAAAAAAATACACTGAAAAAGCTGTTAATTCCTGTGCAACACTATTTCCAATAGTCATGGGTGAAGTAAAAAAAAACAAATGTTATAAACATAATAAAAAACTTCAGATATTACAAAAAAAAAAAAAAAAATTATGAAAAACTAAAAATGGTATAGTGTGAAGCAGATTTGCATATTCTTAAAAATCTTCCTCTTTTGATCAGTTTTCACTTGAACGTTTCCTAAATTTAAACAACTCTATTTAATTAATGACAGTTTTCTGACTGTGGTTTGGTTTGTGTGTGTTTATGGACAAAGGCCATCTCTAACATGACAAACATGGAAACAGTTGGAATAATGTTGTTCGAGTGGTTCCTGTGGGTTTCGGTTTAGTTTTTGTTTAGAAAACAGCAAAAAAAAAAAAAAGCCATGAATTAAAAAAAATATATAGAAAAACATCACAACCTATTTTTTAAAGTTTACCTGCATTTAATTAAAACAAGAAAACATTGTTTATATGTCAAGTCTGGATCATCCATTATTTTTCACTTGTTGTGAAGTCGGGACTCGGGGGCAGCAGCTTGAGCAGGGAGACCCAGACATCTTTCCACAGCCGGAGGACCCCAAGGCGTTCCCAGGCCTACCAAGCGACTAAGTCTCTCCAGCGTGTCCTGGGTCTTCCCGGGGGTCTCCTCACAATCGGACATGCCTAAAGCACCTCCCTAGGGCGGTGCCCAGGGAGCATCCTTACCAGATGCCTGAATCACCTCAACCGGCTCCTCTCGATGTGGAGGAGCAGCGGTTCTACTCCGAGTCTCTCCTGATAACTGAACTTCTCACCCTCTCTGTAAGGGAGAGTCCAGCCACCCTGCAGAGGAAACTCATTTCACCGCCTGTATCCACGATCTCGTTCTTTCGGTCACTACGCAGTTTGTGGCCATAGGTGAGGGTACTGACAGAGCTTCATCTCATAGCTCAGCTCTCTTTTTACAATGGATCAGCAGAATCTGCAATACTGCATACGCCAAAACAATCCGTCTGTCAATCTCGCGCTCCATTCTTCTCTCACTTGTGAACAAAAACCCCACGATACTTGGAACTCCTCCACTTGAGGCAGAAACTCAACACGAATAAAGTAATCCACGACTGAGGACCATGGCCTCAGATTTGGAGGTGATGACCCTCAACCCAGTCGCTTCACATCTGGCTGCAAACCACTCCAGTGAGAGCTGGAGGTGTCGGCCCAATGATGCTAACAGGACCACATCATCTGCATATAGCAAAGAAGGACTCCTGAGGCCACCGAACTGGACTCCCTCCACCCACTGGCTGCATCGAGAAACGCCGTCCATAAAAGTTTTGAGCAGAATCTGTGACAGCTGGCAGCCCCGACAGAGTCCACCTCCCATCCTGACGGGGTCCAACTTACTGGCAGCAATGTGAACCCAACTCTCCCACTGCTTGAATAGGAACTGAACAGTGAACAGATAAACAAAATACAATGTTTGAAAATAAATTCGACTCCACACAATTTGACGTACTCATCATTTATTAGCATAAATACTCCTGTACATTCTCAACATCGTTGTCCAGGTCATTACAGGGAAAAGTCTAAACAGCAAGAGTTACAACACAACATTCAACATTTTACGTCAAACTCGAATAAAAAAGAGAGAAAGGAACAAAAACAGGAGGGATCTGATTGAAGGAATGGAGAGGTGTTGCTTTTTTAAATTTTATTCCTTTGCCTGGCTTTTGTCAACTTTCTCTTTCAGCATGTTTGCGTAAAACTTGAAGGTCTCCTGAAAAGAGAAAAAAATGAGACAATTTAGCAAACAATGTAAACAAACTGCACAGTTAGTCTGTGAGGTGTGTGCATGTTTCCATCAGGCATCTTTTTAAAATGTAAGCTGCGTGAGCGCCTCTTGGGTCCGTCTAAACAGTCTCCAACCAGGTTGTCTCGTTACATCTTTAAATCCTCATTAATACACAAATAAGGGATTTGTAGCACATTCCCCAAACACACACTAACGTTCGCTGCCTCTGTTCTTGGTTAATTAATCAGTGTTTTGATCCAGGCCAAACATTGTGCTTAGTGTTTTTTCTTTGAGGGGAGGAGAAGTGACCAGTAATATAGTAATTAACGATGTGAAAAGAGGGAGAACGATCCTGGCACGGTTTAAAAGCATCACTTCAGCCTAATTACAGAAACTTATTTTCTCAAGATTTTTATTTTTTTTGTGTGTGTTTATTGTTCAGGTTTTCCCAGAGAGCTCTAATAATTAGAAAGCAGAATTTTCCCTGAGTCGAGAGTAGCGCGCTGCTCTGGAATAGCATTTATTTCACAGAACGGACAAAGAACAGCAGAGCTTCTACCTATTTGTCAAAACTTCTGAAGAGCGTGAATGTTCACCTTTCCCTCTCCTTGTAACTCTTCCTCTCCCCTCCAGTTATAAGCCCAGCCATCACTTAGCTACTCTGACACTTTGTGAATAATGCAGCAACGTCTCCACCTTCATCCCTCTTTCTCCTTCTATCTTCATCCTGCAGGTGAGTGATGGGGGGGTAAAGAGTCAGGCTGAGGTCTACACCTGCCTCCAGGGGACGGCACCAGAGCGAAGCTGCTGAAAGGACTCTCTCTGTGTGTGTGTGTGTGTGTGTGTGTGTGAGAGTCCACCGCCAAAATAGGACTACATCAGCTTACAAAATGTTCAATGTGCTGAAATGCTCAAAAACACTGCGAGTCAGAAAAAGAAGAGGCTCCTGCAGTGACACCATCTCGCTCACACAACACACTGTATGAACTCTGCTTCCCGAGGGCATCATTTCTGACACACACACACGAAAACCACCAGCTGCAGCACTGCTTCTTCACATTACCACACAACGGCCCGCGTTAGAACACCGCCCGGACACGTGCCAGCCCTGCTTAGCTGCTTCAGGCTGCGCCTACAGTCTGCTCATCGGACAAGACCGTCAGCAACAGACGTGCGTTAGCTCAGAGCAGCTCTGAGGTAATATTTACTAAAGATTTTTAGAGAACAAACACCTACCGTCTTCATTTAACCGATCACTTTCATAGGTTTTTAAATTTGACTCCAAAGATGTTAACTTGAGTTAAAAGTTCACGTCGTTCAAAATGAACCCCGGACAAATCAGGCTCTAAAGGACAGGCGGCACACAGGGTTAGATCTGCGTCCGATTACCAGCAGCTCGTGGAGCCTTCAGCTGACCGTCACAAGCAGAAATGAGAAGCTACAAAGGTTTGTTTCTCTGCCGTTCTTTCTTTTTTCTTTCTACGTTTAAAAGCGACACAAGGTAAGTGAAAGGGTTGTAACATCAATCATCCAGGTAGATAACAATAAAAAAAGGTTAAATCGTGTCATCTTTAAGTGAGAAACGTTTCGTCCCCCATCCAGAGGACTTCCTCAGTCTACGGCCTGCAGACCAGATCTGTCCCATATGTAGCCCTCACTGTGTGGTTCACAAGGCCAACAACAAACAAGGTACGTGTAAGATTCAATGCAGCTTCCTTTGGAGGAGATTTACACACAGAACTTAGGAGGCTGATACATTTTTTTTTACCCATTTCTGTCTCCTGCCATATCCTACATTATTATCGTCTGGATCGCCATCTTTCTGTGTGTTTCCGTGTGTGTCGGTGACTCACAGGGGGCTCAGAGAAGGGCACGCTCTCTCCACATTCACGGTAAAGCACAGCCAGTCGTTTGAGTGACAGCTTGTCCATGGCGATCCCGTCCTTCAACGTCTGCTCGTACAAAGCCTTGGCCGAGGTCAGGTCTTTGTCTTGAACTGTTGGATGAGAAGGCGAGACATATATAAAAAATATGTTAAAATAAGACAACCCCCCCACACACACAAAATGCTTATGTAAACGAGAACTTAAAAAAATACGTACAAGTGAGCAAGTGGAGGGAAGTTGTAGGAATGATAATTTTGCTAAAAGTTTACATTTTTTAAATCCAATTACAATCAATTTTCTTTTCAGTAGTTTCGAGATTATGTAATCTTTTAAGCTGTGTATTTAAAGAAGAAATTGCTAATTTTAACGGTATACTCAGGTTTTTACTTCGGATTAATGACACTAAAAAACAAGAAAGGAAAAAAAATAGACTACATAGCTCTTTTTAAACTCATTCTTCCAAAAGTAACTTTCACCCCACATGACTTCAATTACATTAATATTATTATCATTATTTGTAAACTTGCAACCAATGAGTGTACTGAAAAGATAAAGGGAAAATTGCTAAAAAAAAAATAAAAATCAGTGATTAAATCATCTCGCCATCTCATCTGTGACGTGACCAAACGATAAAGAGGGAACGAACATCAACAGGAGTAAAAAAGTACAAAAAGATGTAAAAAGTGTCAAGTAAAAAGCCAAAGTGGGAAAATATGTAGAGATTAGCATGCTAGGCTAGCCAGGAGAGATAACGGACATGTGTTCTTCTAGCCCCCCCCCCCCCCCCCATTGTTAATGCTGACTACAGATCTGCGTGAACATGTTCTCGTGTCGTTTCCTGCGTCTTACTGTGAGCCTTCAGGATGTACGCGTTCAGAATCTCTTTCTCCGCAAACTCTGGGACCAGGCTCACCAGGGCCTTGATCTTTTCAACCTGTGAGTACAAAGATTCATCTATGGCGGAAAAACGGACGTACTTATACAAATACCAGTATATATATTTAAATTTCATCACTTTAAGAAAAGTGACTTTAAATTTAAAAATCTAAAATAGCTTTGTGGCATAAATGTCTGTTAACTGGCAATGAACTCGTGAATTTTATTTAAATATTTCTAATTACTGAACACCTGAGCTTCCTTTAGCTATTAGTAAAAGAGTTGTTTCCTGCAACGTCACTCGTTACAACTCTTATATATTCAAAACCAACAAGGACGCCCAAAGCAGTATTTATCTTCTGTTATTTGGCATCACAGATTTTTATTTTCTTCAGATCAGATGTTAAATTTTTTACCTTATATACCTAAACCATTTATAAAACATTGAATATTTGGTTAAAAGGAAGATTACTATTTATAGTTACTTTGGAACATTTTTACAAAAAAAATGAATCTGAACATAACTCAAGTATTAGGAAAAAAATTATTAGGGATGCACGATATTATCGGCATGGTATCGGTATCAGCCAGAATTAGCGATAAATTTAAATATCGGACATCAACCATTCCAACAAAATAACTCACAGATATAGGACACTGTATGTATGTATGTATATATATATATATATATATATATATATGCACATACATACATACAATAACAATACAAATTTCCACTGTTCGAGTGATGTCATTGTGTTAGAGAGAGTAAATGTCATGAATAAATTTGACATTAAACATAATCCAAGTTGAAGTGTTGCATCATTTTCAACCCCCTTTTTGGCATCTGCATTTGGTAGCAGACCAAATTGACAAAGATCATGCAGAATAATGTAGTATTTTAATTCCACAGCAGAGAAAGCTGTATAGTCTCTGTAAGTAGGTCTAGGGGGAAAAATATTGTTATTGGTATCGGCCAAATAAGTTTTAACATACAGCCATATCGGATATCAGCCAAAAATCCAATATCGTGCATCCCTAAATATAATGTTTGAAATATTGTCAAACAGGTTATCATAAAGCCTCAGATTCACATCATTTCTGAATCGTGAATTAAAAGAAATCCCCTTTCGCTGAGGGAAACCTGCAACGTGCTCATTTTGAATAAGAAGGTGAATAAACCAACATAAACAGCTGAACAGAACCCAGTTGTGAGACTTTACCTGTCCGGGATGCTTAGCTTTAAAAGCCACAAAGGCCATGAACGCGTCGCTCTGTTCGGACAGACCTGTGCAGCGCTGTAATGACATGAGGAAAAGACAGGAAATAAGGTGTAAGTGGGCGCAATAACGTTGAATCCTCTTAACTTTTTAAAGGTCAGCACGACTTTTCAACCTGTGCTCCTCACTTAGTTTCAGTATATATAAATTTACATGCACTCATGCACGCCCACGCATTCATAGAAATACTCGTGCTCGCAGGGTAACACTCAGGTTAAAGGATAATTATGGATCTAATAACTGCCCGTTTCTTTGAATTTAAACGTATGGCACTTTTCTCATCAGAAAGCATAATTATAATCACTTAGTCGCAGTAAAGGCCAATCCAGCTGCTCAGTGGAAATGTACGTTCACATACATCTTAAAGGCTGTTAGTTGACAAGGTAAGAAAAATATACTGAGAAGTAAAAACTCAGAGTGATGGTAACTAATTCATACATTTTTTTTGTAAATTTCTGGGTGGTGGTTGATGATCAGTGTGAGTTTCTTCAAAACAAAAAAAAAAACCCCGCAAACGTTTAATTTGATTTCTTCGTTTAACCTGAATTGTAAATTGTTACGTATTTATCAGCTTATTTGATTAAAAACGTTTGAACGAGTGCACCATTTGATGACATCATCATAATCAAAAACAAGAAAACAAAATAAAAATGTTGGCAGAGCAGCAAAAAGATCCAAAAAAGTTAAAGGCACCTCTTAAAAAGAGGCCCATCTTTAGCCACTTTCATTTAAGGATGATAATCTTTTTTTTTTTTAATTAAGTCTTAAAATGTTTTTGATCAAATCTGGAAAATGATCTGAACAACCAAATGCAACACCACAATGTGTGCGCTCAGAGAATGACTCTCAGCTACTACCACACCAAATTTTAGCTCAATATCTATAAAATCGACTGTTTCCCATGTTTAAAACCCAATTTTTTGGCTGAGATCTGACAATTTCATTTATTCTGACATGAAAAAGATTGAACACTACCATTTGCAGCCGCTAGAGGGCCCTTGAGAATTATGGCAAGCCAAGTGTCTCATTAATGGGTAAAAGTGCCTATTAATGAGACGCTTGACTTGCCATACAAAGCCACCTTTGTCTCGCTCCGGAACTCCTGAAGCAAACACCAAATCAGCTGCGTTTCACTGCAGCACCCAGGTCAAATGCAGCTGATTTGACCATTAAAGTGCATTTATTAAGGAAAAGTTCAACTGAGACACACCTTTACTATAATTTTGAGCAAACAAAAAATTGTTTTTAAGTGTTAATCTTGTTAAATTCTTGTTGAAGTCCTCCCGTGCATGCTCCGCGGCTGCCATTTTGACAGCCAATCGATTTTTGGCACAACACTGACCCACGTTTCCAGGCTGTCAGCTGTGACGCATAACGGCGTCATGACTTACACGGCAAAGCGACGTATTTATGTATTTTTTCCACTTTATTAGACATTTTTGGACTGATGCGACGGTGTGATTTTTACGGTGGAAAATACAGTATTACTTCGTGAGAGATTCACTGCAGTAAAGAATTGTTATTAGAGACAAATGGAGCCTGCTGGAAACAAAGTTGCTCTCATCTAGGTGGCAAATGTAAAACCTGTTTGTTGGGTGGGGAGTTGTGCCCAGAAGCTCTGGAGCAGCCTTCAGCTGTTAATGAAGTGAGCTCAAATCTATTTTAAACCTTTAAACACTTAAAATGGATTTACTCTCCTTGATTTTTTATTTAAATATTTGATTTAGGTTTTCTCATGTATTTTTAATGTTTTTTTTTTTTTTTTACTGCTTTTATTGTTCTGGATATTTATTTTGGGATTTATTGCCCACTACTTTATGTAACCATTTTCTGTCAGGTTTATAAATCAAACTAGTTTAATTTGAAATGGGATACGTACACAGGCAACAAATGATGTTTGGTGGCTCTCTGCTCCAAAACCTGCATGATTTGGTTGAATAAAAAAAGCGACTCGATGGGAACTACAAAAACATTAAAACACTTGTTTCAGGAGAGGCTTTAACAAACCGGATTCCTTTTTTTTTTTTTTTTTGCTTCTCTTTGCTGAGCATCCGTGAGACCCGATTACAAATCAGACGTGAACCAACGCGTCTCCTCCTCCGCTTCGTACAGAATTAAGGCTTTTAACAGCAACACACACACACAGAAAGAAAGCAGCAGCCTTTATGAGTCACTGAATGGCTTTAGTACAATCAAGTCTACGCCATTACATCTGAAGCAGCTTCGCCTCACGCTCTCACTCGCCTTCTTTTCTGTATTTCCCCCCCTCCCTTGCCACGTTTTGTCCACTCCGAACAGCGACACTACAACTGAGCAGGCCTGCCGTCTACTCCCGCTCCTCACACAGGCTGCCTAAAAGCTCTGCGCACCCAGGGAATCCTCCTTCCTCCTCCTCAACGGCCCATTCCAGCACGTAAGCAGTTGTAGAGGAGTTTGTTAAGCGCTCGCCTCACCACCGCCTCCCGTCTTAATGACTGACTTCATCCCTCCTGCTCCCCACCGGCCTCACCTCCTTCTCTCCTGATAGCCTTGTCGTCATTACAGTCTGCTTGCCTACTTAAAAGCTTTTCAGAGTTTTGGTCCCGCTTCACTTATGGTGGGATGGAGGAGTTATAGCTGCTACCCTCCAGTGACCCAGGAGGAGCGGCTCAGAGGGGAAAGAAAAAAATAAATAAATAAATCAACAAACCACAGCACGTCAGTTTAGCTCAAGTCTCAGCAGTAAGGCTTAAACTCAAACTTTAACTACAAAACAAACGGCATGTTTCAGATTACAAGGATTTCGTTTTGCTGCTCGTTTTGACCAATGATTTAAATTTTCACAGCTTAAGAGACTAAAGGGTTTCCCTCACGATCGCACAGGTTTACATTCATCTTTAGTTGAACTCATTTGATACATTAGTTTGTCAAAGTCTTAAACCAAACCTTCTGTTGCCTTTATACTGGGAATGCTCACGAAGCATCCATGAATTTTTCGGCGCAATTCTCGTCCCGCAGTTTTCAAACTATTTCATCAAAACGTATATAAAAACATTCAGCTTTTTCAGGAGAAGGCTGCGATGACTTTTGGTATTGGTGCAACTTTAGCTTTTTGAAATATTTAGCCTTTTCTGCCACTTTTTTCCTCATAGGAAATTGAGCTCATTTTACATCCTTCAAATCTGTAGTTTTGTTTACAACCTTTTACTGCTCCTTTCACCTTTTGTTCTGGTTCAGCTTGTGCAACTTTCAACATTTTTCAGCTACTTTCAGCTGTTTTTTTTGTGCTCCTTTTAGATTATTTCTGCCAACTACAACATTTTTGTGCTTCTTCTAACTTCTTAGCTTGCTATGCTCCTTTCAGCTTATTTCTGCATGTTTCAGCCTTTTCTACTATTTCAGCTACTATTTAGCTGTTTTATACTAATTTAAGCTTTTCAGCAAATTCCACATTTTTTTGCACTCATTTAAACTTTTTTCAGCCTAATTCAGCTAAAATGCGCTCTCCACGTCCTTGTAAATTCATTTTCTTTCTGCTCTTTTAGCTACTTTTCGGCTGTTTTTGTTGTTGTTGTTGTTGCCAATTTCAGCTTTTTTCAAATACTTTCCTTTTTATTTGGTGCTCATTTCTGCTTCTTTCAGCCTAATTGCGCAAATGTGGGTTCTTTCTGCTTTTTTATACTAATTTAAGCTTATTCTATCTTTTCAGCTAACTTTTTTAAAGCATTTTTAGCTCATTTCAGCAGCTTCAAATTAAAGTTTTTCATGGTAATTTCTGCTACTTTCAGGCATATTAACTTCTTTACACTAATTTCAGCTTGTTATGTTCGTTTCAGCTTTTTCTACTAGTTTCTGCTATTTCAGCTATTTTTGAGCTATTTTTATGGTAATTTTTGTTTTTTCAGCTACTTTTCAGCCATTTTTGCTAATTTCAGTTTTTAGCCAATTTCCTAATTTTTGTGCTTATTTCTGCTTATTTAAACCCAATTCAGCAAATATGTGTTATTTCTGCTTTCTTCTGTTACTTTGGGCTAGTTCTTCCATTTCAGCTACATTTCAGCATGTTTTTAGTCAATTTCAGCTGTTTTTCAGCAAGTTCTTCTGCAATAAGCATTCACACTGCATTTTTGAAGGAAATGCAATTTCTCTAGTTACTTTTGTTTTGTTGACTGATCCTTGTCTTACTTTTTGATTTACTTTTGTTTATTTTCAAAACATCTAGAAGAGGCTTTAAATCCTTGAGCTGGTTCAGACAACAAACAGTACTTACTATGTCGATACGTACAAATCTGTTTGCCAGCTTTATTGCTTGTTTTGTTAAATATTAAAAATGCAAGAAACTGTCAAATCTTCTCCCCAGTGCAACAAATTCATGGGTCAACTTTTGTCTTTTAAATCTGAAGGCAGTAAAAGTTACAGCAATTTTAGATTAATACAAAAAACAAAAATTGTTATGGTTTTTAAGATTAAGGAAAAAAAAAAAATTGTAATATTTTTCAGTCAATTAAGAAAACCTAAACATTTTATTTGTAAATTGATAGTGCTGTCAGATATAGTTTATTCAGTGTCATAAAATAATGTAGATCCCTCAAACTCAGTCACATTCAATCCCTGATGTAGTGACATAAAAACCCTCCACAAAGTTTAAAAATCTATAATTCCCAAAACATTATGAATTATTTATTAATTTCAAAAGTATGTGGTGCTTCTCAGTTTCTCTTCCACCGTCTTAATTTAGTCTTAAAAAATAAATTGAAATGATTTCCCCAATCTTCTTTTCTTCTTACAGAAAAACTGCAGAGCCGAGCACATCTTAGACCCTTAAAATGTAACTTTAGTTGGTGTTTAAATAACGATAAAGACGAGAGCAGTAAGTAACGCATCTGTTCATTTACATGCATGATACTCAAACATCCCTGTTTAAAGATTAAGAAGGATGATCACTCGGGGCGTGACATGACATGATGACTTCAGGCCGAGTGTCGTGAAAAGCAGAGGCTGCATCTGACTTTACTGTAAATTAAAGAAGCTCACATTTTATTTTGTTCTCGCTCCAAACAAAGTTTTGACTATTTAGATGTAATATTTGGTCTTATGCAGCAGAGCAGCAACAACAAGACGTCGTTTCATCTGAAATGTTGTCGTTTCTCAGTTTCGTCCCTCATGCAGCCCCTCTGTGTCTCATACCCTCACCAAGGTCTCATATTCATGTCTTGGAGCTCAGTGTAAAGTCACTGAGCTGTAATGTATGAACGGTGATAAATAAGTGAAGTTGGAGACGGCCAGCTTCAGACCACCAGGCTCAGTGGGTGGAACGAGGGTGAGCTTTTCTTCTCACAAATGTGAAGCTGGATAAATAAGTCAGAAACTGCGGTAGAGCATCTTCTCTGGGGTTTGACAAGTGGACGACAGCAACCAGGAGCTGTGATGGGATTCAGGTCATCATCGGGACTCGTGTTAACTTGTGCTTGTTATCACCTGCTGCCATGAAAGGGAAGCAACCACGAGAATGCATGCACGTGTGCTCGTCTGTTAGCAAAATAACTCCTGAACAAGGGGACAGACTTTAATGAAACTTAAAATAAACTTGGATGCATCTACAAACGATTCACTTTTGGAGACAACCTGATTGGAAATCGCTGCCACAACTAATCGAATAAAAAAAAATAAAAAAAATAAAGTTTTTACTTTATTTTATGGATACCAAGTTTAAATTTGGTTCGGAACTGATCACAGCAGATCTTTGCTTTGCATCACTTCGGCAAACGCGAGTTATTAATTTTGAAAATGTATGCATTTTGTTCTTAGACGTGGGTAGATTAAAATGACAACTTTCATTTTATAATTTAACATGTTGCCAATTGCAAAGTGCTCAAAAATGACAAAAAACAATCCAAGCTAAGCTGGACCTGGGATGCACCTGCATACATCTGAAACGGCAGCGCGTTGTTTCACTTATCGACTTTGTGCAAATTAACCAACAAGATGAGAAACACAATCTGACCAGAAAGCTGCGTTAGCACAGTGAAGTAACAGTCTCCACTATGATTAATTCTTAATTTTCTTCTAATAACTGATTTGGCTCAGCCTCTATGGATTACATCAGTTCTCTAAAAACAAAGACAGCATTCACTGCCAAATTAAGTCAGAACATGCTAAATCAAACAGCTCATTGAAAACAACAGAAGAGAATAATCAGAAAAAAAATATCTTAGTAATACTTTATATTTACAGTAATAGTCTTGCTCTCTTACATGCACACACACACAGATACTCACAGCCAGCAGGTGTTTGGCCTTCTCCACTTCGTTGTTATCGATCAGCTGCAAAAAGAGATCTGACAATGGTCTCCAGCAGGAAAAGTGGTTTGCTAGCCGCTCTGCCATAGCACTCACTGCAACAGTAACAAGCACGTACAGGTCACTTTTTGATTTTCATTGTTGGGCATCTACCCGCCCATGGATTGTGCATGTTCTCTCACATGCGTACATTGTGCCATTATGTCTGTCTGGGTGTCTTACACTTGTCTAAAGCCTCGTCGTTGCCAGATTCTATGACCTTTCCAAAGACAGATTTTATGCCGGAGTGTGAGCCCTCTGGATTTGTGAAGATTCCTTCCAACAGCTCTACCGCTGAATCACAATCACCACTGAAAAGAAACAAGGGGAGGAATTTATTTAAAAGATGCCTCAGCTGCAACATTTCTATCAAGAGAGAAGTTATTTGAACTAACAAATAGTTTTTGCTAGAAAAAAACCCCCACAAACTACAGTACTTTTTTATTTGAAAACCGATTGTGTCAAATAATGTACAGTAGACACTCGCTACTTCGCGGTTTGACTTTCGCAGACTCGCTCTTACGCGATTTTTCAATGATTGTCATTTTAATGTCACTCACGTGACTGGGAAAGTACGGGATAAAAAGTTAACGAAAAAAATAATAAAAACTTTGGACATGCGCCGCCATTTTGTAATTTTCTTTCAATAAGCCTACACTGTAACGTCAGTAAAAAAGAACTACACTACCCAGAAGCCAACAGTGCTTCCGGACGCTGCTTTCTGCCGAAATGGAGGTAAAGTTTTGCAACACAAAGTCAGAGGTAACGATCTATCTGTTAAGATGACAGAACTGGCAGGAAAGTTGCAAATAATCCTGAAGCTCAATTATCCATGTGCACATCAACCAGGACGAGGCGGTGGGCTTCGTCGCTGCTGGGTAGCTCTGCAGAACCGGAACAGAGCTGCTGGTCTGCAGAGCTGGTGAATAAAATCTTGCAGTACTGTACAGTACATACACGTATGCTGTTTAAAATTAAGTAGGTTTAAGAGTTTAGAACATTGCAAGAGTGTGGGAAGGGTTTATAAAGCCTTAAAATATAGCCTTAAAAATAAAATGTACATAAATAAATAAATATAGCGTTCCTATTCGCAGTTTTTCACCTGTCATGGTGGTTTGTGGAAGAAAAAAAACCCCGGCGATAATCGAGGGACCACTGTACTTTCAACCAAAATTCCTCCTTGGTACAACGTTTTCTGTATTGAAGCTGAGCTTTCATGGAATACGAACATAAAAAAATGCTAAAATGTCCAACATGGTTGGAGTTAAATAAGGAATTCAGAGCTACTGGAACAATAAAGCTGCTCCGTATTGTTGTTTTTAGTTTTTAAAACAACTCAAAAATAACACCAGCTTCCTTGTCTGTGCTTCAGAACTTTCCTCGGGGGGTGGGGGGTGGTAAACCTCATTGTTCTCCCTCTAATTCTGTGATTTATTTATTTTTTGCTGAGGTTGCCACAACCAAATAAAAGGCTGCACTACAAATCTGAAACAACACAATCTGGCAACTTGATCTCAGCGCTAACACTTCACGCTCCCCGCCTTCTCGCTGCCGTCACCGGTCGTGATGAATATTTAACAAACGGTGCGTGTGCACCGTGGGGTGTGTACGTTTGCTCGCGCCTGGAAGAGAAGGAACGAATCCGTGCTGATTGGTGCGACTTGGACCGCCTGAATAATTCAGCGAGGGCCCCCCGTTAAATGTGGAGCTTCGCTTTTCTGGACCGGCTTGCTTCTCCGCCGTAGCTCTTAACCAGTCAGCTTGACTCAGATACAGCGGAGACGCACGTGTCAGAGAGGCTCAGAGCGCAGCCCTCAGAGGTCAGGGTTCAAGTTGACGGGCCGGCGCTGCGATGGCCAATCAGGCGTGACACCTCCTTGTTATTTTTCACTTCCTGTTGTCCATTCAAGTGGGCACAGTGTTGCTGCTGTTCGGGGGTGCACTAATGCGGCACAATAAAACTTTGATGTGCGATGCATTTTAATATTTTGTTCTCTTTTGCTCGAGAAGTGACAAAGCAACGGTGGAGGAATGGTGCTTTCATAACATTAAAAAGGACTCGAGTAATCCTATTAACCCCGTGTTCCAGACTTGTTTTTGACACGCCACTTACCCTGTAAGCTTTTACTTCAAGTGTGTTAGCTTAGATCTCATCACTCTGAAGAAATTAGTTAAATTGTTATACCAATCTAGGAGGATTTACACAATAAAACAAAAGATTCACCTCTGCAGTAACTATTGCTTCTTGTCTGAACTGCATCTGACACAAAATACAAGAGTTAACTACTTTTATTAAAGATTTAGGTAAATAAATATTAGAAAAACATAAACAATTTTAAAAGTCACATGACTGAAATACCATCAAATCCTTTACAGACCTTCAGCAAGTCTGCACAAATAGACCCTGTGAACTTACTTGTTGATGTGTGACAGAGCAATGTTATTGACAAAGAACATGCTCGACAGGTTCTGTGTTATGCCAAATTGCTTAATTAGTGATTCCAATTCTTGAATTTCTGCCACGCTGCCGATGTTACGGAGGGCCTGAACCAGCTTGGTGATGGCCACAGTCAAGGGGACAGCATTCATCTGAAGCATAGATTTCATCGTCTCCATTGCCTCTGTAAAGAAGCACACGAAAAATGAGTGTGTGTGTAAACAACAAGGTGATATGTTTGTATTTAAAACACACTAGTCTGATTATTGCGTGAATGTTTAGGAAACATTCACACTATTGTGATCCATTTTTCATCTGCAGTGTTTCCCCTACCATTATACAAGCGGGGCGCCCCGCCCCGTCAACAGAACCGAGCGCCCCGTCTACCGAACCCCGCCCCCCACCCACCTGTCTGCACTGACGTAACGCTAAACTAGCGGCTCGCAATGCAGGTGCACTAGCTAAAAAGCTAAAAGCAGCCTCTTCCTTCATGCTGAACCCTCACGCTGAACGCACCCCCGCCACTCGAAAACTGTCGGTACAAACAGCGCACGGCTCAGATGTGCATCTCTCTCCCCCGCACCGACACCCCCACACCTCCCCGGCCCCAAAAAAAACTAAAACTGTCGGCTGAGACAGCGCGCAGCTGAGATATGTCTCTGTATCTCTCCTCTCACAAACCCTGCTCTAAAACTGTCAGTACAAACAGCACACGGCTGTTTCTGTGTCCCCCAAAACTGTTGGTTTAAACAGCGCACTGAGCAGCTTAGGACGAGTCTCTGTTCCAGACACCCCCCCCAACAAAAATCACGGACGAGATGAGCGCCCCGCCATGGTAAGTTATCTAGGGGAAACACTGATCTGTACATTTTTCAGCGTGATACCCCGCGGTTTTCAAGCTATTTCAACAAATCATAAATCAAAATGTTCAGCTCTTTCAGGACAATCCTGCTATGACTTTTGGTATTGGTGCAACTTTAGCTTTTTGAAATATTTAGCCTTTTCTGCCATTTTTTTCTAATAGAAAATGAATTGAGCTCATTTTACATCCTTCATATCTTTAGATCTGTTTACAACCTTTTACTGCTCCTTTCACATTTTGTTCTGGTTCAGCTTCTTTGTGTAAATTTAAACTTTTTGCAGCTAATTTCAGCTGTTTTTTCAGCCGTTTTGAGCTCCTGCACGTTCGTTCTGTTAGCGACAACATTTTTGTGCTTCTTCTAACTTATTTCTGCTAATTTCAGCTTGTTATGCTCCTTCATCTTATTTCTGCAAGTTTCAGCGTTTTCTGCTATTTCAGCTATTTACCAGTAGCTGTTTTAGGCTCATTTTAGCTTTTTCAGCCAATTCCACATTTTCTGCACCCATTTTAACTTTTTTCAGCCTAATCCAGCAAAAATGTGCTCTCTCTACTTCCTTCTGGTAATTTCAGCCCCTTTCTGATTTTTTTGTTGTTGCTGCTTTTAGCCGTTTTTACTCATTTCTGCTTTTTTCAGATTATTTCCACTTTTTTGTGCTCATTGGGCGGCCGTGGCTGAGTGGTAAGAGCAGCCTTCCTCCAATGCGAGAGTTGGGGGTTCGAACCCCCTGCTGAAGTGTCCCTGGGCAAGACACTGAACCCCTCATAGCCTCAGTGTATGAATGTGATCTAAAGCACTGATTAGTCTCATTAGAATGATTGGTTTAATTAGCTTTGTAGAGATCTAGTAGAGTGCTGTATGAATGGGTAAATGAGGACACAGATTGTAGTGTTAAGCGCTTATTTCTTGAATCTTGAAATTAGATAGAAAGGGGCTATATAAGTACGGTCCATTTATCATTTCTGATTCTTTCAGCCTACGGTAATTGAGCAAACATGTTCTTTCTGCTTTTGTCTGGTAATGTAAGCTTTTTCTACCTTTTCAGCGACCCTGTTAGCATGTTTTAGCTAATTTCAGCTGTTTTCAGATAAATTTAAGCTTTTCATAGTAATTTCTACTCCTTTCAGCCTAATGCATACCGTGAGAACCGATCAACAGAGGATGCAATCTCCTCTGTGGTCCACACTGCGCTCAACCACTTGGAGCAGAAAAACTCTTACGTCCGTATGCTCTTTGTGGACTTCACATCCGCCTTCAACACCATGATCCCCCAAACCCTGATGGACAAACTATCCACACTAGGACTAAGCCCCTCCATCTGCAACTGGGTACTAGACTTTTTAACAAACAGACCACAGTTAGTGAGGATCCACAACCTCTCCTCCTCCACCATAACCCTCAGCACTGGCTCTCCTCAGGGATGTGTGTTGAGCCCCCTCCTGTTTACTCTGCACACGTATGATTGTGCAGCTACCCATCCAGGCTGTCATATTGTGAAGTTTGCAGATGATACAGCGGTGGTGGGATGCATCACAAACAATGATGAGTCCAGCTACAGGCAAGAGGTGGAACACCTGGAGAGCTGGTGCAAAGAGAATAACCTTCACATCAATGTGAAGAAGACAAAGGAGATGATTGTGGACTTCAGAAGGAACAAAAACATCTACACCCCCCTGAACATAAGAGGATCTGCGGTGGAAGTGGTCTCCAGCTACAAGTACTTGGGTGTACACATGAATGACAACCTCAGCTGGAGCAACAACACCACCAGCCTGATCAAGAAAGCTCATCAGAGACTCTACTTCCTCAGACGGCTGAGGCGAGCTGGTCTGGGAAGCTCAGTCCTCACCTCCTTCTACAGGTATGCAGTGGAGAGCATCCTGTGCTCCAGCATCAATGTGTGGCATGGAGGCTGCACAGCTGCAGAAAGAAAAGCTTTGCAGAGAGTGGTGAAGGCTGCACAGAAATCTGTCGGAATCAGCCTCCCCACCATCACAGACATCTACACCTCCAGATGCAGGAAGAGGGCCACCTGCATCATGAAGGACCCCACTCACCCAGCACACACACTTTTTGCCCCACTCCCCTCAGGAAGGAGGTTAAGGAGCATTAAGTGTAGAACCACTAGACTGAGGAACAGCTTCTACCCTGAGGCTGTTAGACTCATGAATCTTTAACTAGAATAATCACTGTGAAAAACCATATCATGTTGCTGCTGATCTGTTTCATGTTGCTGCTGATCTGTTTCAATGTTGATGTGTTCATGCGTGCACATCTGCTCACAGACTCATGTTCATGTTTGTGGTGATGTTCAATGTTTTATGTTATGAGTGCTTAGTGCATATTTAGTTGATGTTATTCTTAGTTCATATCTTAGATGTTATTACTGTTTTTCTTATACATTTTATTGTTGGATGTAACTGGGACCATGTGTACATAATTTCGCTCCACCACATGTACCACATGAGGTGCGAATGACAATAAAGAAACTCTGACTCTGACTCTAATTAACTTATGTCTGCTAATTTCAGCTTGTTATGCTCCTTCAGTTTATTTCTGCAAGTCTCAACTTTTTCTGCTATTTTATCTACTATTTAGCTGTTTTATGCTAATTTTAGCTCTTTCAGCTAACTCCACATTTTTTGTACCCATTTGAACTTTTTTCAGCCTAATACAGAAAAAAAAAGTGCTCTCTCCACTTCCTTCTGGTAATTTCAGCTCCTTTCTGATTTACTTTGTTGTTGCTTTTAGCTATTTTTGCTAATTTCTGCTTTTTTCAGATTAGTTCCATATTTTTGTGCTCATTTCTGATTCTTTCAGTCTACGGTAACTGAGCAAACGTCTTCTTTCTGCTTTCATCCGGTAATTTAAGCTTTTTCTACACTTTCAGCTACCTTTTAAGAATGTTTTAGCTAATTTCAGCTGTTTTCAGATAAATTTGTTTTTCATAGTAATTTCTGCTCCTTTCAGCCTACTTAACTTCTTGCTGCTAATTTCAGCTTATGCTCCTGTCAGCTTTTTTCCTCAGAGTTTCAGCTTTTTCTGCTATTTCAGCTACTAAATACTTAGCTGCTTTTATACTCATTTTATCCTTTTCTACTAATTCCACATTTTTTAGCTAATTTCTGCTTTTTTTTTTTTAAAGCTAATTTCCTTGTGCTCATTTCTGCTAATTTCAACCTAATTCAGCAAAAATGCACTTTTCCCGCTTTTTTCTGCTAATAAAGACTTGTTCTTCCATTTCAGCTACAGTTAAGCTGTTTTTATGCAAGTTCTTCAGCAATACGCATTCACACTGCATTTTCGCAGGAAATGCAATTTCTCTAGTTACCTTTGACCTGGCCTTTAACGCTGTATGAGACGATGAGCAAACTGTTGGCGGCATCGCTCAGCTTGAAGCTTGGCATTTGGGACGTGGCCCTGAGGAGGGGAAAAAAAACAACTCAGAAAACATCACATCATTAGGAAAAAAAGGTTTTAGAAAATTGGATGAATGTGTAAATCAGGACGGTATTTTTGTGGACAGAGCTGTAAATCTGTGCAAACAACTTTAAAGAAATATTCATCAATATCTTGCCGTACAACAAATTTCCAGGGTATTTAATTCACCTGTCAAAAACAGACAATTCCATGTAGCAATTTTCATACAAATGCTTTTAGTTTCCAGAAAACACAGTTTCACAACAAGATAATCTTCAAAGCAAATAGAAAAGACGACTTGTGTTTCTGGACATGTAGAGCGCTGGAGGTTTTTTTAATTTCTGGATCATGTAATCCCACAAGGGCAGAGCTTTTTCTACGAAAATGAAAAAGAATTATCAGTGTATTTTTTGTGATATTCTGATATTAGATCATGTACAAATAATAGATTTTATCTATGTACGACTGACGCTGAAAGAAAGTCCATTAATTCCAAACTTTAAAGCTGATACTCGGGTGTCCCATTAGGAGAAAATCTTTGTAATCTGCGATGACTGCACCATCTACATGGCGAGTTAGGCCTTGAATGCTGTGGTATTGTGAGGCATCACATTTAGAAAAGCATTAGACTTCGCAGAGATGGAGGGGATAAACACATGAGCTGAAAGGTACAAGACAATAGGAATAAATCTGATTGGCAGCAAGTCTGAGCCTTTAGTAAAGCTCCTGCTGTGACCTGAAAATAATACAGACATCAAGGATGTGATTGATGTTGCTGTATATGTGACATTCCTCCATGCTGAGCTCCATCGTAGCTGTTGTTGGTATATCCAAGTGAGGGCTGGAAGAGGCTGTTATCAAGGCCTCGGGGAGCTGCTCCTGCTTCACATCTGTATATACTTGCTGTCCCACTCTCTTTTTTTTGCCACTAAAACCTCAATCAAACTTGCCTCCTGCTTTTTTTTAATTCATTATTATAGCCCTGCAACCAGATTAATCCTTCCGCTCAATTGAGCATCAGGCTGGCAATCCTTATCGCCACGGCGACACCAGGCCAAGCAGCAGCATCCGGCAGCTGCTCTGACAGGGTCAAGCTAAAGATTGGAGTAGTAACAGGGTCGTTGACTGATTGCCGTGGAGGCTGAGCAGCAGGGGGTGTGTGGGGGCAGAATTATTCTTATCAAGAGGGAGGAAATCTCTAGAGGCTGTCCTTTTGCTCACCTTTCCCCCACTCCACCGCTCTCTCACCTTCTCCTTCTAGGGGTATTGCATTCTAGCCAATGAATCCCACCCTTCTGCTTCTTCTTCTCATCAACACTCTACCACAATCCCTTAATCTCACCATAAGTACCCCACTGCTCAGTTCTGTACAGATTACCTAAAAACACACACACTCAGAATTAATGCCTATAGCGTCTTCATTATCCCCTACATGATTAAATCTAACCATCCTCTCATTCACTCCTCTTTTCCTATTTAGACCTTTTTATCTTCCTCTTTTTTCTTCCCATTTCCATCTTTCCCCGACTCTCCTCTCAGCTCATTTCACTTCTCATTAAGAGTGCAGATAAACTAAGCTTTTATCCAGGCGGGGATGCCATAAACCAATTCAAACGGAGACTGGAGATGGGTTATCACTTGTATTTGCCTTGTGCTTGTTGAAACACGGGTCTAAAATTGATATGATTATTCTTGTAATAAAAAAAGAGTGAACCATGTAGCGAGCTGGGGTGGGGTGGGGGGGGGGGCAAAAAGAGACAGATAGAGTAATGGCTGTTTTTACATGTTTTCTTTTTTGTACAGTTTCGTGACTGCAGCTTTTCTCTCAGCGTGTGTCATTATGTTATAATCTCTTTGCTTTGGTGTTTTCTTCTGCAGAAGGAAAATGATAAAAAGAAAAAGCGACAAAAGGAGATAAAGAAAATGTGAGAGATTACCTAAAAAAAAAGGCAAATAGCAAAAGAAGATCTGCTCTGTGTTAAGCTCAAATCTGTAATACCTCTGCCAGTCCATTTGTCCCCCAGGCTCACGCCCAGACATGGACCCGGTAACACAACAACAACACATGATACATCACTAATTGGAAGAAGATTGATATTTCAGCACAAAGTCACATGCTTCCCAGTAAACCAAAACTAATCTGGAAATCGGAGCACGTGTGTGAGTGTGTATCTTAGGGCTTAATGTGAATCATTGTTCATATCCAGCAGAGTTGAGCATGTTAACACACAATCACTTTCTAATCCTCGTGCCCACCGAGGAGCTGCTGTGTGAGCCTTGTGTCCTCAGCTGCCACCAGCTGAGGATGAAAGAGGAAGTGGCAGAGTATTAACTTCACCTCATGGTAAATGTGTCATTTTTAATGCTCAAAACATAAACACAGAAGGGAGCTATCTGTCTTTACTGAGGGTGGATGTGTCACATTTATTAACATACTTTAAATATAACCTGAACCTAAAGCAGAAATTTTGTGTAGGGCTTAAATACAATCCATAAAGGCAAAAACTATAAAAAAAAAAAAGACCTAGCTATCCTTGAAGGAATACATATCACTAAGCCTGTCGCAATAAACAATAAATCAATTATTCGCATGATAAATGAAAATAACCAACTTCATTTTCGGATTTATCGTTTCTACGTCTCTCTTTCTACTGAAGACTCTGGATGATAAAAGACAACCCCGGTGCTCTTCACTGATCCCTCCGTTTCTCTTTACTCTTTAAAATCCGTTTTAACCATCCAAAATTGTGTTTCTGGACCATTAAAAGCAGTTAAGCTGCGAAGCTAAGCTACAAGCTAAGCTACGAGCTAAGCTAACACGCCGACCTCAGGGGAAAACCTCCGTCTTGTCAAAGCTCTAAAATTCACGGTTGAAACCCGTGACTTCGTGTAAAATGTTGTTTTTCTCTGCAAAAAGAAGCTGAGAACTTGTTGACTGATTTTTTCTTAAAAGCTTTATGTGAAAATGCTATGCTAGAGTTCAAATCACCGAGCGCCCGTCACTTTGAGAACGGAATAAAGGAAGGAGAGACAGCCCATGTCACATCAAGGGGCCTCATGCTGCTCACTCCCTCACTATCCATCATTTGGTTCAAACTGTCTTATACTGCTATCCAATGGTCAAAAAATGTACTACATACAAAAATTAATCAACATTTCTTCTTAAATTTGACAATAATTACTAATTATTGTCAAATTTCAAACAATATCATAATTTATCACAATAATTTTAGAGACAATTAATCGCCCAGCAAAATTTGTTATCGTGACAGGCCCACATATCACTGTGGCCTGTCATGTTAGAAGTGTAGATGCAGACATTCTTGAATGTTGAATTATGTTGTAGAGATATCCAACGATTATTTTCTTTCATTTTGCACAATGTGTTAGTGCTCAAAATATGCGTTAGGGATCAGTGTAAATTACTACGACACTACATTTTTTGTTTAACTACATGTAGACTCGACAGAGTTACAACATTGTTGTGTTTGTTTTTTTTAGGTCTGCTGGCTGCGGCAGACTTCTCGAGTTATGTTGACTAAAAGTTAACCAGTTGTTAATTTACATCTTATAACTTTCTGTAATTTACAATAAAAATGTCCAGAGGTTTATGAGAAATTTTGATAACAGGCAAACATATACTCATACACACATTTCAGCAGGGAACTACTACCTGCAGGAACAAGCAACATGCCTGAAGTAAAGATTCCTGCTTGTAATTTTTAGAACCCCGTTTTTACTTTTTGATATGACGCCACTTGTTAGTCATTTTAAATGAGAAGGCAAAAATCTACGATTACCAGAAAAGAGATGGGAGTCATGTTGACTTTTTGTAAGAGTACCGCAGAAAGTTAAAATTTACACGTTTTCACCAGCCGAGATTTAAAAAAAAAATGTACTTGGTAGATGGTCTAAAACATTACTTGTACTTTAAGACAAGCAAAGGTTTTGAAGGCAATTATTCATCATGTAATGATGCTCTGACAATTTCTTATTGGACGTTTTGTGGAGAAACCTACATTTTCTGGACGGTAAAGGCGTCCTCGATGGATCCTTCAGCCAACAGAGACCGGATCAGGACATCATACACGACGATGGATGGGATCGCACCCCTTTGATTCATCTTTGTTATCAAACTGAATGCTTCTGCAGGAAGAAAATGAGAAAATGAGAGAGATAGGATGAAGGGAAATTTCAGATAATCCTTGCATTACTGGACATGCACGTAAAAAAAAATAAAAAATAAAAAAAAGTTAATAATAGTAGCTAAGTACATCTTTTTTGCTCATTTGAATGTAGATTGTAAAGAGGTGAGTCTAGAGCTTGGAGCAAAAGTTAATTTCGGTTTTAATTTTAGTTTGGAAAAGACTGGACAAAAAAGGTTTACAGATTACAGCTTATTGTGCGTTTAATACATTTCACATGGGACATCAACACCCGGACCTCCAGCTGCGTACCTTTGGCATTGCCCTTCTTACAAAGAGCCAGCAGACGGTTATTGTAATTAGTACCATCTTCTACTTTCAAGTAGTTCGGATGTGACTTGACCTGCTGTATGGTGCTGGTCTCTTGATCGTACCACGACTGTAAACGAAACACAAAAAAACAATGCAACAACTTGGTGTGAGGATTCCATCAAAACACTACTACAACCAGTCTGGAAACACCATCAGCCAGAAATGGGTTGGTATGTGTGTATGACGGCATTTATGACAATAACGGCAGGCAGGTCGGGCAAGGTCCTGTAATGCTTGCTCACCCATGTAGCTATGAGGGGAGGGGGGTTAAGCTGTATTGGCTAGGGGCAAATTAGGTCTGGCACCCTAGGGGCAAAAGAAAAATGCATGTGTTAGAGAGTCTGTGTGCTGGAGCGGGAAGTGTCAACTGAAGAGCCCCTGGGGGTCACAAAGTTCATCGCCTGAGGCAACAGCAATCACTTCCTGTCTCATCACGATTTGTGCTTTTGAAGCATGCAAACCAAAAATGAGGAAAAAATAAAATCAGCAAGGACGAACGAGCAGTGAGAATGGAACTATTTTAAAGCAATGCTGCAAATTAATTGTAGCGGAGGGAGAGAAAAATAATCTGATTCTCACTTTTAATTTGGGTCTAGCTGAGCATCAAACAGCAGCCATATGGTGGCATTTAGCAGCTGTCTAAATTAGTCAGGCATTACAGATTTACAGACTGATCAAGCTGTAATTCCTTTCACCAGCCAGCCCGTCTGATTGACTACACTTCAGATCAGAGCTTCAATCCTGTTTGCTCTACATGTAATGAACAGAGGCTTAAAATAGAGCAAAGTTGTGGGGGGAAGGGCTGGCTGGTCAGTGACCAGCTGATAAATTTGAGATTTTTTGGTGTGTGTGTGTGTGTGTGTGTGGGGGGGGGATTAGCTTTGACCATCAGAAGCCAGGGTCAAACTCCTCTTTTGGTAATCTATTCAAAGAGTAACATTTTATTTTAATTGAGAAAAAACATCATCTTCATTGTCTTATTGATACAAAAACAAAGTTCAAAGTACAGAATATAACAAAATAGGTTTTTTTTTTAATTATCTTCAATTCAATTAGTTGCTAAGAATGGGGTTACCTTTCTCTTGTTTAAATTTAGGTATGAATTTGTGAATCTTTGCAACTACAATTTTCCACTGTAAAATAAAATATTCAATAAATTTACTGCAATTCCGAGTGCAGGTATGTGTAATACACAGGAAACATCCAGCCTTTAGTCAAGGAAAGTTGCTCAAGTGTTGCATCAAGTAGAGTTTCAGTTTTGTTCACGAGTGAAGGAGGAATGGGACATGAGCTGCACAGACGGATCAGTGCAGCTTCTATAGTATTGTGTGCTGTGTACTAGTCTGCTGTGGTGAAGAGGGACCTGAGCTGAAGGGTGAAGCTTTCCCTTTACTGTCAGTCTACGCTGCTATCAGCTATGGCCACAAACTCTGGGTAGTGACCGCAAGAACAAGATTACGGATGCAGGTGGTCAAAATGAGTTCATTATGAGTAGCTGTGCTCTACAATAAGATGGGAAGTTCAGTCTGGGAGGGACTTGGAATAGAGCTGCTGCTCTTCTACATTGAGTGGAGTCAGTCGAGGTGGTTTAGGCATCTGCAAGGATGCCCCCAGGACACCTCCATAGGGAGGCTCTGGGAAAGACCCAGGACATGCTGGAGAGACGACGTCTCTCAATTGGCCTGAGAACGCCTTGAAATCCTCCTAAAAGAGGTGGCTGTGGAAAGAGATGTCTGGGCCGCCCTGCCCAAGTTGCACTGCGACCCGACTCTGGAACAAGCAGCAGGTAACGGATTGATGGACATTCAACCTTTACCTTGTAGACGAAGTGAGACAGACTGTGAGGGACGTGACAAATACAACGTGAACAAATTGGCTAAACGATAAAGTGAAGCAGAATTTGGCTGCAGAAAATACATACCGACAAAAATAATTGTTTAATTGCTACGATTAGCTACCATTTATTTTCACGGAACATGTAAGGAGAGAAAAGGTGTTATGGTAAAGTTGCAGCATGGATGTGAATTAGATTTCAGAGATCTTTAGTTAAAAATCTATTTTTGTTTTCAGATTTACTTGCTCTGTTTTGTTCCACTGTCTGGAACCTCTAGTTAAAAAGCATTTATTGTCACCAGTCAGCATCATTAGGATCTTACAAACAAGGGATTTTACCTCAGGCACGTCAAACGGCACCTCCTGACCATTACTCTTCAGGATATCTGCCAGCAAACACAGGGTCCTCTCCCTGGGAATCACATTCTCTTCCTGCATCTTTGTCCATGTGGCTTCTGCCTTCTGCCAGTCATTTGTCTCCTCTGTAAACAACCGAAAACACAAATCAGTGGGAATGAAAGGTTTTAATTTGTCATAAATGCATGACACACAAACATGTGGTTAAATATTCAGCTCGTCGCGCAGGTCTAACAGAGAGGAGTTTCTGACAAAGCACTTCGTGCTGAGAGAAAACACTCAAAGCTTCAATCTGATCAACTGACTGACCCTCGACTCTGCTGTAAATGTGTGCAGGAAAGTGAGGAGAAATGGCACAATGACAATCAGCTTTAACACTCCAATCACAATTTTTATCAGTTCGGCAGCAATCACACCGCCTCTTCAGCTTCCTTCAGACTGATCCCACTCTGAACATACTCAGCGACTGAGGAAAGAACAGTGAAGCACGAGCAGCAGTGGGAGGTCCAGTGAGCAGAAGACAACAAATGCACACAGACAAATGAAGGACAGAGACTTACTGCAGAGTTTTAAGATGTAGCTGTACATCTCATCTCTGTCAGACTCAAACAGCTTGGCTGTCACCTCCACCATCTGCTCCAAGGGCTTCATCTAAATTCAACAACGCAAACATTAAAGCTAGATTAATTATGATCATCTTTATTGTTGCCTAGTTGTGTGCACATGTGTTTGTATGCATTACCTGTTTTTTAAAAATACATCTCTCTGCAAACCAATGAAAGCTTCCAGACTTTGCCCTCAGCCCAGGGGTCTATAAAAGAAAAACAAATGTCACAGTTTGATAAGAAATAAGCGAATAAATGAATACCATTTTTGCTGAACGTGTCCCGGTGTCGGTGTGCATTTGCTCCGTGTACAAACTGACCAGATGCTAAATTGTTCAGGTTGTCCAAATATCACTTAAACTGTTTTTGAGATCATTTCAAACACAGGCTTAAATCATTCAATTCAAGCAGAAGAAAAAATATTCAAGTTTAAAAGTTTAGAAACATTAAAATAGTACACTCAGAGGAATAAAAATAAACAGCACACTGATTTAGGCAAAAAACGTGGAGTTTAATAAGTTTGAACTGATGTACATCATAGACGGTCTGAAATAAGAAAAACTAAAGCTGGATTTATTATTTGTTTTGAAAAATATGTTGAGCTCATGTCTTTTTAAATACATGGCTGGATTATGAAATGGCATGCCACTGCATTCCCCCCCCCCCCCACCCCCAACATCCTGCCTATTTTATCTATTAATGACCAAGGCACCCAGATTAAATGTTATAAAAACTATAGGATTCTTGATTGTATTGTGTTTTAGATATTTATCTTGCATATCCTTTGCATTTGTTTATATTTGTTCCCCTACCTTTTAGTATTGTTTTAATAAATTGTAGAGCCCCAACCGATATATTGGTAGGGCCGATATTCTAGGCTTATATTTTGGGGACTTATCGGTATCAGTGATAATCGGCCCATTATGCGCCGATATAAAAACTTCTTATTTTCTCCCCTCAAATGCTGGGAATGAGTCGTGTCCTTACTTGCAAATGGTGTAATTGTACGATGTATCCAGCAAAGGGCACATGCGGATTACTTTCCAGTCATGGCCATGCTCACCTGACTCACAGCACAGCTGAAGCAGGGAGCAACTACCGGTAAATACTGTGTATGGCATATTTTGCTAAACAGGGCATGGTAAGTTTATTGTAACTGATCTGTAAAACAAATCAACAATAATAAATCCTCTTCAACCCTTCAATCCTCCAATCCGCTTTTCATTAGCCAAGTGCCTCTCAAGTTAACAAGCTAACTTTTAGATAACCTAGCATAAGCTATTGCCTTGTCAAACTTTAGCCAGAAAAATAAACCTAACGTAACGTTACATACCGGTATATATCAGTATTAGTAACATTATCTTTGTCCTCCTCAATAAAAAGCATTGTTTGTTTTGATATCTTTATGTCTCTGGAAAAAAAAAAAAAAAACCTCTGCTGCAGTCAAAAATTAGGCATTCACCATATGTGACTGTTTAAACAACGAACAATTTATATTTTTGTAACACATTTCATAACTTTATGGTGAATAATGGAAGATAGAAAATGTGAATGCACGTTAGGAAAACCGTTTTAAGACTTTAGGTGTTAAAACAAGTTTAAAAGTAGCCGATTTCTTAGATTATTGAGGGTGGACAAAGCTAAAGAATTTTCAGCCAATATATCCGTTAACGACGTTACCTGCCCCCTCCCAAAATCGGTATCGACGACAGCCAAAATTTCCATACGGTCGGGCTCTAATCAACTGCAGCTAATTTGGTTGCTTTGCTTTTAAATGTGAATACCTTGTCTCCCTTTTCATGGTTGTTTCATGTTGTAGATGGATAGTTCCAACGATTTATATCTAGGGGTGTGCTGATAAATCGGCTCCGATTTCCTTAATTTTGGGAAATCAGAAATTGGCCGATACATGAGAAACCGATTTTACAGATTTTTTTCTCTCGCTTTAACAACTATTGTCTGAACTTCGTTTTTATTTCAGAGCACTACCTCGTGGCCAGTTAAAACAAGTTTGTATTGTTTCTAGGATATTGTTCAAAGGTATGTTTTTCAAAAAAATATTACTGGAAAATTGAAGGTACCTTGTGACCTTATAACACCTGACATTGTCGCGTATAAAACAAAATCAGAATCGGCAGGGCAGACTTTTTAGAAATCGGTGATCGGACAGAAAACTGCAATCGGTGCACCCCTATATCATCTTGGATAGCTGGTGTGCCATTAAAGCCACCACACTATTTTTATGTTGCTCATTAAAATAAAACTCTTTTTAGTAGTTGTATTAGCCCAAGTAGGTTTGATAATTTACTATTTCTATTTTCCCCCTCATTTTCTTTATTTACTGTAACATTTTTTTTTAAAGTTACATATATTTCTAGAACAAGACAAACCCTTGAGCCCATGTTTCAAAGCCCTGAAAATATTCAGATTTCTTATTGGCTTTGACAACATACAAATATATTGTTGGCAAATGTGAGTCCAAACCAGGAGAACAAATATAAATATCATGTTAATACTTGAATAGTTTTGCAGTAAAGCTCTGCAAAATTATAAAAACAATGATTTGCTTCAGACAACACAAAAGGGAAAAGTATTGATGTGAACGTTTGGCTAGAGAGCAGAACAGACATTAGAGAGCATCATTTTCACTTGTTTATCAAGAGGACAAATTAAAAAAATATACTGCCAGATTATTTTTCTTTTATATACAAAACGTTAAAATCTGTAGTCTTCCATTTTCCATAGATTTGCTTTCCCCCCACTTTTTAAAACAACGATAATATACAGATAAGTAGTGTATTTGCGCGGTCCGTTAGGGGCTGACATAGATTGATCTTCAAACTCATATTGCCACGATTTAGCCTGATACGTGCAGTGCCTATATGATTATTATCATGGAAAACAGTGATCGGGATTTCATCAGTATCCTGGGGCTTTGATACAATCTGAATAAGACATGGATTGAGAAATTTTACTCTCCCTATTTCCTCAGTAATCTGGGTGAGAAGAGGGGAAAAAAAAGGGAAACATAGAATGATCTGGCTGGAAGATAATCTGACCGAGGATCAACAGCACTCAATCTCTGCTGGCCGCTTTGATGGACAACCCATCAAACTGAGAGGACAAAGTAAGGAAAAGATGAGCTTCATCCTTTTCCTTGACCATCCCTCCCAACTTTTCTTTCAATCCCCACATCTCCAAATTCCTTCCTCTTCCTCCTGCCTCGTCATCCCTCTAGTTTTCCCAGGAAGAGGCATTATGTTCTTACCCAACGAGCCAAAAGGGACAAATTAAAATGTGTAGCACCCACTCTCTCTCTCAAGCTGTCTAATCTTCTTAGAGACTAAGGCTCAATGCAAGTGCTCCATCTATTTTTTATTTTTATTTTTTGCCTTCAATTCATTTTACTTGGAAAAGTCTTGAGGGCTCAAAGCAGCACAACTATTTGCCAAAACAAGCGCGCGCACGCACACACCAGTCCGAATGTGTTTGGGATTGTGATTTCGTCAGGAGAAATCTCCCTAATCTAAGCCGGAACCACAATCCTCAGAAATAAGAAGACATGCTGCTGACATACACAGACGCAGATCAAAAGAATTTAAAGCAAAAAGAGAAAACAACAACAACCAGCATTGACAGGGAAAATGATGAAAAAATGTCAAGCAGGTCAGATTATCAAGACGATCCTCACATTAACATACAGCCAAGTAAGTAAAGTGCATCCTGTTGCATCTTTAAGAGTTTTTTATTTGTGACCTTCAGGTGTTAAAACATTTTTACAGGTCTCATTCTTACATGTATTTTTTTTAAAAAGAAGCTAAAACTGACCGTCTCACCTCCACTTAACAAACCCTCTCCATCTCTGTTCCTAATGTTTCAATTCTACTAATCACATGGACACATACACACAAACCCCTCTCCCCAACACAAAAACATAATAGCTCACCACTCTTTTACAACACTACCTAACCTTGACCATCACATAGACACACATGCCTGCTGCAATAATAAACCCGGTCATCTGACAATCCCCCTACCTAAACGTGACCATTTAGCACAAAATTGGCCACCTTTCTCTATCATTACACTTAATTAGCTGTGATTAATCAGCTGCCAATTATACCAAACAGAGCCTAAAGAGAGAAACCACTCTGGACCACCACTTGACGCTCTCAAAAAGAGGGAAACAAAAGGTATTTGAGCCTTTGAATGAGTGTGTAACTATTTATTTTTGAGTGATGAGAAACATGATTCCATTGTAGTCACCTGATATCAATTGTGACGCAAGATTAATGACGAACAGCTCCGAATTAACTTTTAGTTTAGAGTCTTTGGTATAAATTCTACGCAGGTTAAGTGAAAAGTGACATTATAATAGCGTAATGTTTTTCCTTTACTCCATGATTTTCTTCAAAGTAACAAAGGAAAAATGCAGTTGTTCACTGTGTCTTTGCTAGCAAAACAGCTCATGAACCACCATTAGGATTTTATTAAATTTTTGTTAGATGTTCATTTATAAGTTCAAGTCAAGTTTATTGTTATTCACATCACATGTGGTACATTAGATAGAACAAAATTATGTTCACAGGGTCTCAGGGGAAAAAAAAATAAATAAATAATGTATATATATATATATTAAAATCTATATAAAAAATTCTACGCAGGT